TATATGCTGAAAGAAAATTTGTGGAATAAAGCAGCTTCTTAAGCAAAAATTATTTCCTTTACTTCTTTATAATATTCTCAAATACAAAAAGAGTTAACATTAATATTTTCCATTATATTTTCTGGCATCTATGATATAACACAAATATTCTCCAAGGCAAGATCTCTCGCGGGAACAAGAGAGGGGAATTAGTCTCGTACAGAAATTATTTCACGTATTCGAAGTTATTCAAGAAAGTTCGCGAAATCGTCTTATCTTTGAAGGGTTGCTTTATCTGTCCAATTTTATTTCTCAGCATGAAGCAAATATGATTATCTCCTCGACTTGGGCCGTCCTACAATTCCCGTACAGTCTCAAAGACTTACCCATTCTTGGATCGTGCCGGACGTTTCTCATTTTGGCTTAACTCATTCTTCAGAGCTCTTCGCAAATCATTACCACCTTCCATTATTCCGTTGTGGCTGATTAACGGTCTATTTAGTATTCAAGAAACGTCGCGCGGAGAGACGGATCCCAGTACTCGCAAACATTTCGCGCGAAAATTAAATGTGGAGAGTTACTTAGACGCTTTTAATTCGGATCCCCGAGAAGATCGGACGACGAGATATTCCGTCCGGCGACAGCGGGACTAACTAAATCAGGGAAAACATTTGAACTTAGTGCTTAAATCGTGACGACGCAACCGTGCGTTCCCACACATTTCCGGTGGATTAAATTTCTCGCCGCTGGTCTTACCGTTGCTTCTTGTGTCTCGCAGTTTTTGCACACGCTCCATAGCTGCCACGAATTGTTGTTTTCCAGTTTACGTAATCGTTATTGGGGGGACCATCGAGGCGAAGTACATCCCGCAACTGCTCTCATTACTTTAAAAAACCGGGATATCTTATCCACCACGATTTTTCTCGAATAGTCACTTGATGTAGCAAATACGAACCGACGTTACAGCGGTCCGAATAAATTCCAATTGCGCGCATAATCGCACTGTTACATAAATTCACATGAAGATCATTCGCTCTCCGAGTAACACGCGCCGACGCTGAATATCTGCGCTCGCAATTTCGCTGTTACATTCTGACCGGAAGGAATAGGTGAGACTTTACGAAATTGAATTGTCGTGCGAATTGTGCCGGATTTCTTAAAACCTTTTTAGCAGAACTGCCTTTTATAACGTCGTTTCGAATTTGCGCGACGTTCCATTTTGGGAGACTATCTCGCGCAAATATTCTGCCCGGTAAACGTTCAGGACGAGGCTCTTGGTGATTTCGATTACGAATGCGAATGAAAATGTTTCATGAATGTTATATGCTGATTGAGCAATTTTGCTGCTTGCTCAAAGGTTACTAAATCTCTCTCTCTCTCTCTCTATCGCGCGCGAGCATATTAAATTTCATTAAATTTTATCGATCTATGCAGTTATCTGCGCAAAATAATTCAACATTAGTTTAACCTGGTAGCGGGCTAATGTATAACGAAAGTTTTACTATTGCCCGTCGCTTTTACCGAAATTGCCCAACTAGTTTGTAGCTTCGGAATCCTAATCCTTGTTTAAAGGTTAAAAGTGCCATTAAAAGTTTAACAAGCACTAAGTACCGGTCGAAGTATTCTCAATCGCAGCATTTCTGGCGCACTGCCATCTGGCACATTCTTCCAAGCGAGAGGAAAGCCGCGCGCAGAACGTTTATTTATATTCGAATGTCAAATGTAGTGGGTGCTGCGAGTGTCACCGGAGGCCAGAGTGTCATCTCGGTGCGGTGTCGCACAAATCCCACGCCTGATACAGAGAGATAGACCTTCCCGATGATAGTAATCGATTGCGATCGCGCGTATTCCACTTGACACTTTTATTATCGCGGACTTATAGATGAGCAACTGCTTAACTGCGACGACAGCGTTGTTGGCGGCAGCAGAGAAATTTTATAATCTCGTAGTCGAGTAGTCTCTGGAATAGGAAATCGTGGATTTTTCATGAACTTTACCGGAACGGTATTTTCGAATGTGAAGTTAAAGAGGTCTACATAACATTTTCTCCAAACTATTCGAATATGAAAAATGTGAAAAATTTGAAAATTACAAAATTCCCTCGGTCCGTATTCAGACGCAAATTAACGTATTTCGTCGAAATCGTTCTCCTCAATTCTGAATTCGTCTTTCTTCAAACCTTCGATGCTCATTTTTCAATTTATCATTTCTTCTATAAAATATAATTATACAGGGTGTTTAAAAAATAATGGTCAATACTGTAAAAGTGGAAAGTATACGCCAGAATAAGTAAAAACATTCCAGAGAACACGGGGGCCGCAAATGAACCGTTTTCGAGTTATCGCACATGCTCTGTTACATGTTGCACGCATGTTACCATTTTTTCCCTTTCCTCTCCCTTAGTGCTCTAGATTTACCAGTGCTCATCAACGGATCATCAATATCGACAGAGATTGCAGCAACGAACAGTAACAGATAGCAGTATGCAGACATGCATTTCATATATGGTAAAGCCAACGGCAGTACTCTCGAGGCTGCACATTTGTACCGATAAGCTTTTTCTCTTTGTAACATCCTGTGGTATTGAAATTCACAATTAAACATGTAGTATCTGACATATAAGTAAAATCACTTTTAGCAAAGGATCCACTGTTTTTTGCTACACTTAATGCTACCACCGTCAGTGGCTGATCGTGACATAACACGCAATAATTTGGAAACGGTTCATTCGCGACCCCATATTTATCGAGATGTTATTTATTTTGCCTTGCGCTTTTTACCTTTAAATTATTAACCGTCCTTTTTTTAAACACTCATAGTATAATTAATGTTATCAGTGAGATTTTCTCTCCATATTCGTCGTACAAATTATTTCTCGTCGGAACTCTCAGGGGAAATCTTCGTCGAAATTACGATAAGGTTTTTTTAACACCGGCAAAACGGCGAAGATCACAAGAACTTGGGAAGATTTTAAGACTTGGAAACAAGAACCAATATCTCGCTCTGCGATTTATTCTTGCCTCCGCGCCTCGAAGTTGCTGTTGGTACGAGTATTAAAAATGTCATCGCAGTATCGACGGAGGGTTGTCGAGATATTCGATAAAACGATTTCTATGCCGCATCACTTCGGCGGTGAAAATTAGACAGAACCACATTCTGATTATCCCATATTATTTATTAACAACATCGATATTTTCCTATCCTAATGAGCAAAGAAGTGCCAATTGGAGTCTAAATGGGATTATAAATAACTCGTGTACAAATGAGAAACGAAACTTCGCGTCGGAAAAGTCGACCGTGTTTAATGGATGAAATAAATCGATACTTTAACGACTCTTGCGCTAAAAGAAATAGAATCACGCGAAGGCTTCTGCAAATCCCATGATGAAACTTTAATTAACGGTACAAAATAGCCGGCAATTTTGGTAAATGTGTTCATTGCTAGCTTCGCCGACTGCAGGAAATTGCCCGATTCGATCCCGGTCAATCCAAAGATAGAAATCGGTCTGTAGACAGCGATGTAACTAAGCGGTAACAAGGATGAACGGTATACGCAATTTCGACGATCGGGAGAATTGTTGCCTCACCTACAAACATTATTAAGCTCTTCATAGATCAAGCTTTTTTTTATTATGAGAAGAATCTAAATTTCCCACGTCAGCGCTATTTGCCTGATTTCGGAGTGAATTACCTTTGACTGCCGGACTTGTTGTGAAGCGCGGACAAAGTGAATAGACGAAGTGCTTTTTATATCTCAAGTCATTTCGCAGCAAAGAAGCGTCGTTTGCGAGTCGTCCGCGCAACTTGGGAGCTACGAGCGTGTAATTAATTGCACGGCGCGCTAAGGATTCTCTCCGGCTATTATTGGCGTGAGAACGGACAAAGCGCAAGAGGAAAGAAGTGTGTCCCGTTATGCGTATAATGCGCGTCTCATTTAAAATGGAATAAATGCATAAGCTCTGTGTCACTTTGACGCGGTGGGTGGAAATTCCCGTTAACGCCTCAGGATGCTCTTTCGTGCGGAGCTCGGCGCAGTCGAAGTCGAAATATCAAAAACGCACAGGATGTAGACGGGGGGCCGACTTTTTCTTCCGTTTTCACGGGAGAATATTAATCGCACACTGTACACGCTCGACGATATAATAAGGGACTTCGTCAAAGGCTTCGATCGTACGAATAACATTTCATTTTACGCAGGATATACGCGTTACATCGTCGAAAATCAGTCGACGCCGCACGGAATGATAATACCATTGCTGAAACGAGAACGGCAGCTTGACGATAATTTTTATCAAAAGCTCCCATGAAACATTATGACTGCAAATTCATCTTCCGATCAAAACGCAGCACGCTGATGTATATTCTAAAACGTGTATGCATTACGATTTGGAAATAATCGCATCGGAGTTTCGGCGGGAATAATTATGGCACAGAATTTCAAGCGTTTTACCATACGGAAGTACGCGTAAATTCGCGAGCGCGAAGGGGAAGACACACCAGCCGTGTAAACGTGTAAAATTTTATTCCGGAATAAATAACATAAAATTTCCGCGGATTTTCATAAGCGACAATTTCGACTATCTACAGTTATTTATAAAGTTGTATGTCGCTTTTAACTCTTAAAACAATTTAATTTAAGGACCAGTCGGGATCCTTAAACTCTAAATTACGGGCTTTCCCGGTCTCGCGGATTTCACGTCTAGCCGAACACGCGGAACTTCGATCGTGGGTCTCGTCCGATTTGCCCGGATGAGATTCCTTCACGGGGAAAAGGGAATTAGTTCACACAGCTAAAAATTAGCTGTCCATGTAACACAATTGAAATTTAATTACTTTAATTAATTCTTTTACCCTGTACCTAGGTTTCAGCTCACATAACTGAAAACTAAGTCTGGTAACTAAACTTCAGTTGTACATATAGACAACTAATTTTCTTTTTCCGTGCTGTACGTTGCAATTCCTTGTACGTAATAAATAACTATAGACCCGTTTGTAAAATTGTAATCGCGAACACGAATGAATCACAGATTGCTGATGGCTATTGAAACGGTATCATCCGATCTCTTTGTGGACGATGTACTTTCGTTGCTAGGTTGCTGGTAAGCTAGGATATGCCCCTGCTCAGAGACAGGCTCCGACGACAAATCCTCTTTTCGTAACAGATAAGCGTTATGAAGAGGAGTGTCCTCTGTATTTACGTTATTCCTGCTTCTATTCTTGGCGTTCTCCTCTCCGCTCGACGTAAAGCGAAATATTTCCCTGGCGCGAGCAACGGCATGCCTAGAGAAAAATTGTCATATTGTTAGAATGTAACTTTGATGTGCACAGAGTTCGGTGAAAAAAGGATCGACTTTCCGACGTAGCATACGGACACTCGATTAGAATCCACAGTAATTATGCAATATCGATATTGTATTAATTTGTAACACTTCCGTAATCTGAGAAAATCAGTCTCGACTATATTCTCTCACTTTCTAAAGTGCAATCAGTTTATTATCATTGAGACGCAATCAATAGTTATTGATATTTATAAGTACAAATGCAAATCAGAAAAATTTCGCTAAAAGTTTAGTAGTAGCGACTGTTTTTATCAGCGAAATCTGACTGCAGAAACAGTGAAACAAGATATTATTTATTATTATTTTTTTTATTACATTGATCATTCTTAAGGTTGCCAATGTTTTTACCTGGAATATTCTTAATTACATTTAATTGATTCAATGAATTATGTCGTATGTAGAAGACACGCTTATTCTGATGAGACTCTAACCTGAGACCTCTGGCTTTTTTGAACCTGCTGTCATACGAACTACGCCAAATACGACATATGGTTGAATGCATATATATATGTACATATATTTTTGCTGAGCGACACATAACAGCGATTTGCAATGAATCTTTCATTAGTAATAAAATCAGTGAAATACACAAAGAAAATATTGCAGTGAAAATTATCACAAAATTTTATAATATTGGGTCAGATCGGAATTATGAAATTATTATGCGTTATAACTTTTAATATTTTATTATTTAATATTTTATTATTTAATTTTATTATTATCGGAAATATGACTGAAATTATTATGTGTTATAATTTTTAATAATGTATACAATCATAAATGTATACATCATAAATTCAGTTATAATTCCAGTAAGGTTCAACATTATAAAATTTTATGTTGTAATTTTCACTTTAATATTTTCTCTGTATAAGATATTTTTATTTTAATATTTTCTCTATATAAGATTAAGTGGAAGTGTAGTTTCCACTAAAAATTAGCGAGTATTCACTGATTATCAATGAAATACTGTTCCACTGATTGAATCAGCGATATTTCCACTGATTCGACTTAAGAGAGCAGATATTTCATTAATGGAGTAAATCATCGGTTTCGAGAATTTCAAACCTGACATCCATACCTAACGGAACACATAAGGCTTCGATCGTAGGTTTCTCTCGAGGAATCGTATCTGCACAGATGAGGTTCCTTACTGGTCGAAGTTCTGCTAGCCTTTCTCTTCGTTCTGCAGCATATCGTTTGTTTAAACGCTTGGCGATATTTCATGCTCATAACATTGTAGAGAATAGGATTGACCGTAGTGCTGAAGTAATACAAGCAGCCGCTCAAAATGTAGAGACACTCGTTTAAATCCGGATAGTAATCGGATTCCTGTGCGTGCACGTAGAGCAAACGCTGGGCGTGAAACGGCGCCCAGCAAATGAAAAACATGATCACGACCGCACCTGAAATGGATCACGCAGTGAATTTTAATGCGTGGCATATTCGTGTAATGTTGAAAATTTAAGAAACGTAGAAAACGATGTCACTTACTGAAATTATCATTAAATAGAAATTTATATATTCCGAATTGAGATACAATGTGTAATTTGATCAAAGCGACACATTTAATTATTTTCTCTATCTTATCGTGATAAATTTATTATAAAGAGAAAAAAGTTTCGTACTTAACATTCTAATAACGGACTTCCTGGATTGCATCTGCCGGTATTCCCCGTGAACGCAACCCTGTATTGGGCCTAGTGCATCCTTAGTACTGCTCCTGATTCTTATTCCCATCCTCGTATATACGATCAGAATCACGAGCATTGGGATCAGGAAAAACACGATACAGCTGAGTTCGTAAAGGGGAAAGTCGGGCATGTCGGGCAGAAGCATCGCGCAAATCGCTGAATCAGCCGAATAATTGCCCGATCCTGAATAATATCTGATGTTACATATATAACATAAAGTATAATAATGTAACGAATATCTTAATAACATATATATATATATATATATATATACAAAAACAGATTTACGATATCAATAAGTGAAATCGGAGAATATCAGAACGAAAAAAGACTTAACGGTTGAGGACCAATGTAGTCAAGATTCCCAAAAAGGTAATTACATTTATCGAGGACACTCTCATTAATGAGACCGATAATTATAAGTAAAACAAACTCTGACTTAACCTGGTGGATATTCGACGAGATTGACCTTGGTATAAATCGCGAACGGGATGGCGGAGACTATCGCGATCGACCAGGCCGCGAAAATGAAACGAGCGGGTCTTTTAAGACCGCTCATCGAATAGACACTCAGCGGATGACAGATGGCCAAGTATCTCTCCATGGAGAAAGCCACTATCGTGAGAACTGATACGTACGACGACCTGTGGAGTGATATCCGGATTTAGGAGCATGTCAAATCTCGACGGGATATAAAGGAAGCAGGGAAAAGGTGTTTATTTCTTACATCTCCGACACGTACGCCCTGATCTTGCAAAGACCCGCACCCAGCTCCCACGGATATTGCTGCCAGAATACGCTTAGCTCGTTAGGAAGACCTGAGGGAGAAATAATTAATTAACATCAGCAAGTAATAGATTGAAGAGCACTTTCCGAGAGAGAGAGAGAGAGAGAGAAAGACAGCGTGGTCGGCTGATGACGCGTTTCTCGCATTTTCGAAATCTAACTTTTACGAATTCATATATTTCGAGGAATTTTTTCTACAATTCGTACAATTGCTGCTGGATACCATGGGATACCTCTTAATTTTAATGACAAAGTCCCCACGCGGTTTTTTCCGTTCGAATTCCATACTCGGATTTTTTTGCTTTAATACATCCACGTTTCCGATTACATTAACGTCGACGTCAAAGTTTCGTACGGCACGCTACTGCGGATAAAACGCTCACGCAATTTCGACGAGGGCCTCGCAAATTAATTTTCCGAAAAGCAGATTTATGATAGACTTAAGCCGGGCTAGTAATTAGCGTGAAATCATCGCGACCGCATCGCGACAATATTAACGAGGTTGCGCCTTCTCGATGTGTGTACACACGTTAAAATAACTTTCACACGTTACCTACACCGGAGACAAATGACTGAATATCCGTCCAGCCATATCGTCGAACGAGTAAATTCAACAGGCGCCATTTCAACTTGTGTTCAATTTCGTGTGTTTTAATTAACAGACACATCGCAATATACGTACAGTGAGACTCCCCTGCGATTCTTAACGATGGATAAGCGCAAAATTGGACATTTCTATACATTATAGAAAATACATAAAAATAAATGTCTTTTTCTGTTCAATCTGTTATCGCGTCTCTTGTTTATCTTTCACGTGCGCGCGCTTTCTCGTTCTCTCTACTTTTTAATAACTCTACACATGTATATATTTGTAATTTTACGCGGGCTAAAGTAACAATTAGAATTTTTTCTTTCAAAAATTGTTTACTAAAAGTATATATAAAGATTTATTTATCTAATAATATCATGCGCATTATGTTTAATTATTTTTAATGAATTTCCTGAACGTTTATATTTGACGATAGAAAAATTCATTAGACAATTTAATCTCGTTTGTAAATTCATAGAAAATCAACATACACGGACTACAATGTTAAATATATAATTTTGCCCCACTTTAACTGTCTTAAGTGATTCTACGTTAGCGTAATCCCGAGATTTTACATTCTCTCGAGAATACTGAACAAAGAATTAAAGTATCGGGAGTGTTGTAACATTTCACGATCCGTCAGGGATTAATTAAGAAGAGCAAACTGTAAAGCGCGCTTACCTCTCGTACTGTCGTTAAGTAAAGCCGAAAGTTGCTTCCTTTCCTTTCGCATCACGATATCTCAAATTTCTCTCGACTTCCAGTCGTCTCCCAAAACATAAAAGATATCTGACATGTACGTGTATGCTAGCCCGTCCCTTTACAAAGCGTCACAATAGGTATGAAACCCTCATAGGACCTTTTCCACCGAAAGCTGGACCGTATCGCAAACGGTAAAGCTTCCTCGAAAGGAAACCCTTCGATCGATTCTATTGTGCCTAACATTTTCTAAAGCAACGCTAACGTTATATAAGATATTCGCCACCCGACGAAGCCCGAAGCACTTTAATGCACTGTAAAACCGCCGCGTCGACACAGCCAATTGGCGATGTGATTGTTTCAATTTCTCTCATTCTCATTTTCGTTCTTTTTTCTGCGCAATCAAGTGAAAACTAATTTATGTAGTAATTTACTCTTCTTGTAAACGGCGTATTTCTCTCCCTCTCTCTCTGTCTCTGTCTCTCTCTCGATACCGTTTGACTTTGGATTATTTCTGCCGATACATCAGCGTTATTTCTTTATGTAAAAAATATATTTTAATTATTACGAGCAAATTAAAAACTAGCTCCTATTTCCTTTTCCTTTATGACCACCAAGCTGCAATTATTTGAACCATCTATTTTAATACAGTATTTTACCAGGTCCTTATTAATAGCCGCATTCGGCAAAACGTTTATTTTATAACTGCTGAAAATTTTCCGTACCATGATTGGATTATTCCTCTAGATCTAAAAAAGTAATGAAATCTTAGCTCCGAAAACTTGCAACATCAAGTTCCTATATATAAAGTTCTTATAACATAAACTTGCAACAACTCAGAAGAGTTTCAAAATAAACGTTCCGCTGAACGTGACCAATGATACGAGATCTTGATGAATTGATTCCACTGTACGATATGGATATTGACTTTCCTCGCATTTGAAAATCTCAGCAAACGTAATACGGCCCGTCTCAGATTCGTTATCCTGTCTGAAAGCAGCCTTACGTCTCGTGAATTTCTCACAATGACGTAAATACGGACGCACAGTTACCATCGGCAAACAGAGCATTGTATAGATAACAATCGTGATTGTACACAGAAGGAAAAAAGAAACGAAGATTAATTCCAAGCTTTTATCTATGTGCGTCAATGCGAGGAAAGCGGGTAAGCAAGGTAGGCAAGTAGACAGATATAAACGTGTCGTGCTGACTGATTGTGATCGCGATAATACAGATAATATCCAATAAATGATTTCATTTGTCCTATAGAAAGTTCGGTCCGCGAGTGTACTTTGAAATGCATATTTTCCGCCGCGTACGTCGCCGCGCTAAATAAACATTAATGAGCATTATTAACGATATCACGATTAAAAGCCACAACTTATTTCGCACGCGATTTATTTACCTCTATTGCCGTTGTGACTCGCACAAAGGTCAATATTGAAAAAAGTGCGAGTGGATGTGCTACGGGGACATTCTCGATTTTATTTATCGCCACGCTAAAAGGACTGGTTTGATCCCGGCCGTTCCATCGGCTTTAAATCCGCACCAATTTGTTCTTTCGACGGAATTTGACCTCATTCGTTATTAAAGGTCTTTCCGCACCTTACTCAGTACGGTCGGAAATAGCGGTGGAATTTTTATTTTACAAACGGATCACTCTCTTTCTCTCTCCAGTCGCATTTACAATTCGCTGGTACGCGCGTTATTCAATCGAGCACGCAGTTTAGTTTAGTTTAAACGGTTATCGTTATCGATCGCGTTGCCGATTATCAAAATATCATTATCAGCGGGCGAAATCCCATCGGCGGTTAACGAGTCGTTGATGCGGCCGCTGATTTGCAGACAATGGCGACTCGATCATCGACACTCCTTCATATCGATTTCCGATTAAAACCGGGCACGATAACAGGAATGTACTTTGAATTACACGCGCTCGCGGGATATGTTATTTATATTACACGCGCGTATGAAATCTCCCCCCTGGGCAACGCGCGAAATAAAGGACGTATGCAGAACATGCGAGCAAATGCCGTGGCAATGCGCGAAATAGCCTTAGACCCTGGCCCCATCCGACCTTGCATTCCTAAACTTCACCTTTTTCAAGGCGGTAGGAGAAAAGAAATATAGAGCCGGAGCTGATCTCACGCCTGAACGTGAGTTAAGGGTCGGTTATTTTACGCGAATGTCAACGGAACAAATAGATATGTAATTTTTAATTTTTTATATAGAGGATAAGGTGGTATTATGGCTTCCTATTTATATTTTGTACAAATAACTTTATCAACAATCAATATTTTTATAATTGAGAACTGAACATTTATTAACAGTCGTTAAAGTGTTGTTTAATCGATTCTAAACTCAAAACTGTGAAATATTTATTATTTACCCAGTAAGCAAGAAATCTTGAACACAATATTATTATAATTATTTTTTATAATATGTAACGTTGTCAAATATATAGTTCTTAATGTCGTATACAACGTCATTTAACAATAGTTAATAATATTTGACCGAAACGTTAAAAATAATATTTCTACATTATGATTTTAATAATTAGGAATATTATGTTATCAAGTAATAGTTTATGAAAATATTCATGAAATATTATGTCAAAATGTTTATAAAATCCACGCAAAATCAATGTTTTAAAAGATTGATTTAATGTTTCTTGCTTACTGTCATTTATAAAAATGGATGGATAATGATGGATGGAATAATGGATTGAAGAGAAACAGGGGTGGTATGTAATATGGCTGCCAAAAATAGATTTAAAAAATTGATTTTGTTTAAAATAATAGAGTTTTTTGTTGCAAAATTATATATATATTCAAAATAAAAACTCTTAGAAGGAATAACGATGAATATAACCGTGTGTCTTTAATGCAGATACCGACTTATTTGTCAGAAGATACTATCTGTCAGAAGGACAGCAGTGCAGTGAAGAGAGTGGAGAGAGAAGTGCAGCAGTGAACTATAGATCAGAATCGACTTATCAAATAACTATTTCGATATGAAAATTTCGAAAAAGAGGTCGTATTATCAGCTTTCTCAGGGAGTCATATTAGCAAAATGCCATGCTATTGTTTGACTTTGCATAACTCGAAAAATATACAGCCGAATGAAATAACGAGTAACACACTCGAATGTACACATATTCGTGTACGCTCAAGTTTAAGAAGAACGAGGAAGTATGTGTAATTAAATACTAAAATGTATCTTGAAAATGTTTCGAAATGTTCAAAAGTAAAAATGCGTTTTAACAAATGCCGGTTATTGTATATTGTAGCCACAACATAACCGCGGTTATTAAATAAATGATTCCATAAGTAATCGCTAGAATACGCCCGTAGAATATCTGAGCGCGGAACTGATCAAAAAACGGAAAGAACTTCTGCACATCAACCGAATATATTTTAGAATTTAAAAGTATCTTTTTCCGAAGGTAATCTATAAATGCTCCTCGACAAGTCATTTATTTCACTCAGAGGCCAAGATAGACCTTCTTCCTGGGTTGTAACTAACGCGAGAAAGATAACATGACGCGAGAAACGATTAATTACTAAAACTTCAAGTTTAAGAGGCGTTTAATCTAAACAGGATCGGCCAGGTCAGAGTCTAAAAGGGAGGAAGAGAAGAAGAGGAAGGTACGAGGGAGAGATCGAGAGAGTCAACGTTATTCGCTCACCCAGTATGAGTAGAGTGAGGTCGGATATGGCCAGACTGAACAGATAGTAATTAGTGGCGGTCTGCATGGATGCGTTCCTGACGATAACCGTGCACGTGGCGACGTTACCGAAGATCCCGGTGACGAAGACCGCCGCGTAGACGATCGTCAGCGGTATCACCATCTTCATGGGCAGGTACCTCGGGCCGAGCACCCTGTCCAGGTACTCGGCCTCGGTTAGATTAGCCAGGTCCCAGTCTCGCCAAAAGTCCAGGGCGTGGTTGTCGTCCGACGTCCCCATGACTGAATCCTCGCGAGGATATACCGCCTATCACACGTTCGCTCGATTCATCGTGATCGACATCGATACTCTACCCTTCGCTCGCGCGGTATGCACGTTGATATCGTCCCGATATCGTACGCGCAAACAAAGAGCACTCGATAATCCGACTAGTCGGTAAACCTTCTTCCTCTTAGTCCGTTCTTAATGGCTCAATTACTCGGGACAGGGTCTTCTTCAGCTTTCTCGCTGGAGGACCCTTCCCGAGAACAACGGAAGGAAACTGCGAAGAGAATGAGACAGTCCACTTAGGCGACCTTAACTCGCCCGTCAAATTCTACGGTGGCATGCGTCAAGAGTGATTGCATTCTGGATACCTGATGATAGCACGATGTTCGTATCGCCCCTTCGAGGCGGCGAATAAAGCCGGTGATAAAGGCGTGGGGTGTGTGTCGGGCTCGTTTTTCGCTGTTCTCCGGCAAGATGAAAGTCCTTACAAAGAGACGCTCGCCCGCTCGCTAAGATCAATTGTGTCGCGCTTGATTGTTGACTAGAGCGACCGGAGGTGTGCTCGAACGGATAATTAGAGGAATCACACACGCGTTCTCTTAGACGCCGCTTAAATATTTACGCCGTACTCCTCCTCGATCGATCGATCGTTATTACGGCGCGAACGTCAAGTGATATCGCGCACTATCGTAAAACTCCCACCTTTCGTTCCTCTGTCTTTAAACACCTGAATTTCCGGGAGCATAGCGCGATAACTGACAGCAGTCGCATCCCGGGTCCGTAAACAAAATTGCGGAGCGCTCCGGTGTCGCGGAAGCTGTTTACAGCTCAGCACTCGCGAGACACCGAACCTCGCCGACGGTTCGAAAAGCAAAAACAAGCGTTTATCATTTCAGAAGACGCGCCTTTTCGTTATGGATTACCAGGCGAGCGACTGATGCAGCTTGCCGGTCGGCGTTGACGAACCTCAGAATAGACGCGTACTTCCGAATATGAAGGAGAAAATGTTATATCAACGAGCCGTCGTTCATGAAAGAACGTCTCGCACGAACTGAGCGCGATGCTCTCGGCGATACCGCCACCGACACCTGTTCGACTACTCCGTTCGCAGATTCCGCTGATAGAGTTCTTTTAACGTATCATTGTTGTCAGATCAAGTTAGTCTTTAATTACGTGCGGACTCAGAAGCTCGAGGTTGATAAGTGCTCGTCACAGAATATGTCACAGCATACGTGTGTATGTGTGTATTGGTGTATGTGTGTATTCTTAAGTGGAGTCTTAAAAATATATAATTTAAATTCAATTTAATACATGTTTTCCTGTTACTTCTTTATATTTAATAATATAACGATTAAAAAATTTTAATATTTTATAGTCGTTTTCGAAAGATTTCTGTGAACTTTCTTGAAAGTTACGTGTCCGTAGAAGTGTGAAGCTGCATGTCAGTCCTAAATTGACATATTTCGGTATATAGTTTACATTGTGATTAACATAAGTACATTAAGATTCGCCTTGATATAACAAGCATTTTGTCAGCAAAAGAAGATTATCTGATGTTGTGAAAATTGAGACAATATTACGGCGATATTCTGATACCATATATGTTCAAAAGACGATGCAATTGATCCGGAATTAGTAATAAGAAGTCAATACTTTGATTAAAATTGTAAATTAATATTTTTTTAGAACAAGCGTATTTTAAACATATTTTTTATACATTTTAAACATGTGCTGTTGTAATGGCGTCACAAAGCACTCATTGAATGTTCGCATACCATGTTCAGCATTTCTGTCTATCTGGGGTAATTGAGAATTAACCAAATTTTCTCGTAGACTATCAGAACTTCGCAAGAAAGTCCGCGAGAAATTTTGTGTTTGCAGTGGTCCGTTTTAACGTTTGCGATGCCGTAACTTGAATGCCGTAGCCTTAAAATAAGTATCATTATTATATTAACGCGCACCCGCAAAGAGAATTTTCCATAAAACCACGATCTATCGTCGTTCCGACACGAACGTCGTGACTTTCCTGTTTCGAAGAAAACGTTTTCGCCAATAAATTTCCAAACTCGTCATAATATTCACGTGATACTTTCCTTCACGCGACTGACAATCATTTTGAAATTTTCTCGAAGTCGTTCTCACGAGAGTTTTCCGAGCGATATATAAATGACATTTGAGGTGAAGTTTCCGTAGCGGGTTTATCTAACTTGCTGTCAAGCAAGCGTGACGAAGTTTTAACCAGATAATTTAAGCTTTCGGTGAGTTGTAAAGTTCTCAAACATGCAATATACATGTATCTAGCGAGACTAGCGATGCCTTCGCATCCTGAAAAATCACCGTTATTATTAACATCATCATTATTGCAGTTAGCTTTACCGCACATTATAATTTATAACTTACTTGATAAATCATCTCTTAAATAATGGAAAATTACATTGTTTGACACACAACGATTATTCATATTTCGTCCTTTAATATCACATATTTTTTATTTACGGAGAATTATAACGACGGAGATAAATATATGCGGAACTCGTTTGAGAATAATATGTAATAATCAGAAGGTATATTTATTATCGGAAGAATATGAATTAATTTCATGCCGTATCAAATAAACTATTGCAGCGAATATTCACTGTAACGCCGCTTACCTGTAACATCCGTACTATTCTCTCTTCTCCTTTTTTTCTTGTTTGAAATGCGTTTAAAACTTCCGGTCAAGCCCACAACCATAATTTACTAGGGCACATTCGACAATCTTTTTGTCAGTTTGAATTAAAAATATATTAGAATAAAAAACAATAAAATATAATGGAATATAGAATAATAAAATAAAATGTTTAGACGTGACTTAAAAAAAAATCAGAACTTACAGCACTTGCGTGTCAATCTAGTAAAATACGTAAAAATGATGAAAAAAATGAACTACGTAGTTATTACTTCTCTTGTCATTTGCCAAATAGCACAGAACGTCTTAGAATTATCCTGAGTATATTCAAAAAGTTTCAAGTACATTCGAGATGATTCTGAAGGACGTGCTATCTCGGTTGTTCGTTTACGATTTATTAATCATTTAATCACATGATGAATTTGTTAAGTAAGCAATGCACACAAAATATCAACGCATGATGCGACAACTAATAGCGTTTCCATCGCCAAATTATTTTCTTATTTTCATGCAGAGGAGGATCTTGCAGAACGACCTCGCTTATCGTTACTGCCGTTATTTGCACAACATTACTCCCTTTCCAATTACATTTGCTCACGTCAAGACGATTCCAGCTGAAGCCAATATATCACCGTCTTATCTACAAAGTGACTTCCTAAGCTCGAATAAATCGTTTTTGCCGCGCCGCTAACATCTTTTCTATTCGAATCGCAACACAGCAGTCTTCAGGCGTCGTTCTATACGCGAAACTCTCGTTGTACGTTGTGACGTACGCTCGTGTGTTATTTGACACTAACTTTCGACATTCTACATTTCTCCTTTTTAAACGCAGCCGGAAAAGAAAGATAAGATTCTCTCTCGTATTTTCTCGCAAAAGTACTCCCCGAGAATAAAAATATTTCCGAGAAGGAAGAAGAAAAGCAGCGACCGTCTTATCAACGGTCTTATTCCGTTGTGCCACGCGCATCTCTAGAAATATTGTAAAATTCTGAATGTTTTATTCCGTATATATACACAAAATCCAGATAACAAATGCAGATGACAAATGCAGACATGGCTTCACGCGAGAAAATATTTTTTATTATTATTGTATTGACGCATCTTTCGCATCATATATCGGTCCATGTTTGATTCAAAATTCTTCCACATATATCGAGCTATCGTATGTCGACTTAAAGCAAGTAACAAAGTCCAAGTTTAAATATGTCAAAAAATAGCCGTTGTTGCTATTGATCGGTAAGCCGAAAACTTTTGGAAGAAAATTACTTTCTCGACTCTTCGATTTATTTCAACGGGAGACTCAAAAATCGATAAATCGATGAATTCTTTCTTACAGAAAACAAATAGATAGAAATTGAAATTGGCTCTGAACTTCTTGATTATCAGGATCAAGAGAATTTATATAGGATCGGGTAATCGTTCTCCGCCAATTCTATATTACTCAATTTTTACTCTACAAAGCTCCTCGACAAAAAAAAATTGCTGAAAAGACAATTCGTCGTCATTAAAGAAACTTGGATATTATTTCTTCGGGTAAATAGAAATCATCTGAGGGGGACGATTTCGTTTCACGAGTTTATTTCTACTGGGCGGACGAGAATGTTGCTTTCTGACGTGTACAAAAAAAACTCGCGTATGTAACTTTTCTCGGACGATATAAATCACAGTGTAAAGAAATTAAATTACGAAACGAAGCGAAGACACGAACATCGCCAGGGCAGTTCCATTTATATGCGATCGATACAAGACTACTCGTCCAAAAAAAAGAATAATGGGGCTGGTTCAGGCATAAGAGTGCTCTTCTCAGATTTCTGAAATTTCTCCTCTGCAGTTATTAATTCATTTTTTATTTTACTTTCTCGCTTCATTCAAACTCAGCGTCCTTTTTGAATTTTTCCCCACGGAAAACTGAAGGGTAGGTGAATAGTCCCGTCCTGAGTATTTGTGAGGAAATAACAGTTTTATAGCTATCCGATAACATCAAACGCCTTGATTGAAAGCAATAAAGGAATTTGAAAAAGCTTTGGGGTGAAGAGGTTGCGTATAAACCATTGCACAAAGAACCCGTTTTGACCTGTGGAACGGGAGTGGCTTAATAATCGTAAGTTTAAAAATCTTTATATTTTCGAGTATTACGTTGAGTTTCTTTTAATTACAAATTCTGCGAGAAAAATACGTTTACTCCCACAAAAACGGTACTGAAAATTGTTATCCTAAATTAATAACACTCTGTGCAATAACGTGATAATGGGATCCGACTTAATGGCGAATAAATTATTGCAGATCCTGTTTATTTCCCTGGATATACACCCCATTAAAGTTTACGATAACGATTATATGTGTGAATAATCCGGTGAATAACGGGGGACTCTGAAGTAGGATCGATATTACATGCAAAAATGGTGTTTTATTATACAGTTTCACGCGCATACATATCACGCACCAGTAGAAAAATATATAAAGAAGACTGTTTTTACAATATCTGCTCAACTAGGATATCAAGAGACACATCAACTATTTATACTTATTACATATATACTATTCATATATATGAATTGCAATATATACAAACTTCTGTATATGAGCCTTTATATTTATATTAATATATAAAAGAAGACTATTTTTCTCTTTAAAACGGAATACGACGTTAATTAGTGTCACTAGAACTTTAATCACTCTCACTGTCGTCTGTCTCTTGATTGCTTCGTTGCCTTTCCCTGTTCGTATTCACGAAAAGATCCCCATCATCGTCTTCCCTTGTATCATCCTCCGTTATCAAGTTGACGTTCCCTTCTGGATTCTTATCAAATTCCGACGGCCAGCAATTTTGTGCGCGATAGCTTTTTATGTTATTCTACAAAATGTGATATTAATACAAGACAAAAAATACGAAGTACCATTCAATATTTGCAAGGGAAAATTCTAATTTTGTTTTTCATTATATATATATATATATATATAAAATGACAAAAAATTACCTCCGTAAGTCTTTTAATAATTTCGCCCTTGACCTTATCGCCCTCCTTGATGGGATCGGTCAAGACGTAATCACCCCTCTTCACCCAAATCATTCTCCGATATCTGTTAGGCATCGAGACAAGGTACTGTTCTCCACTGGGACTGATGACTTCGTAGAGACGACTGCCGCTCGGCTTGAGGATTCGTACGATGCATTGAGAATCCGTGGGTACACTCAGATCGTCGTAAATGATGTGCTTGTTGCGTTTCGTTGCTTTAAACATCGTGACCTGCAAAACTAAACCAAACATATCGCGATTTTAATCCACCTTCCCTCGCTCTCGTGATTCTCTCCTTGAACGTCGCGAGACAAGATTGATTCCGCGCTTGAAAAAAAGAAAAAATACCGATGACACAAAATTAACGTCGTGATTTCCGTGATTCACGTGAAGCGATACGGCTTTAAGCGGAAAGTTCCTCAACGGCCGAGTCCGCTGCTTTGGCTTTGCGATCTTTCGCATCGTGCCACCATCCCAGCGAGCCGCCGGACTTCTCCAGGGCGGTCCACACGTCTAGGCTCTCGCCGGGCGGTATATCGTATCCGTTTTGCAGCCCGTGAGGGTTCGACGGGGTCTTACAGTCGTGGGCGGATTCTTTGCGCAGAACGGTGTCCACTTCCACGGACGTGAAGAACGCCACCGACATCGGTAAGTCCCGCATACCGACTCTCGAGGCGCAGAACGCCCTCGTCAGCAGATTCGTCATGTGCATGGCGAGTGCGGCGTTGTACTTGTGCCTGGACGGCACGAGATACCGCACCTCGTCGTGAAAGGACAGGCAGAACCTCGCGTTGTCCCGCATCAGCCACCTCATGGAGACCAGCATGAGATGAAGGAAGTCGACCGCGCCGCTCTGCACCACCCAGTTGATCTTCGTGGGCAAGAAGTTGTCCTCCTCGCCGGTATTGCTGGTCTCCAGGGCGCGGCTCAATCTTGAGTTGAGAAACGGCGTGACCGGATACTCGCTGCTGGCGATCTCCTCCAGCCGATTGAACATGGCCGATTCCGAGCCGTCGAGCCACTCGCTCTTATGGAACATCTCTTGCACGCTCTTGCCGTATAACTTCGCCGCCTGATACGCCTGATACGAGGTGAAAGGCTCATCCTGCAGGTTGTCATCAAGGAACTCGGCCTTCAGCCGGTACACCTTCTTGCCCTTGGTGAGAGCGAACATTTTGCGCGACTTGGCGACCGCCTCGGCGTCCGTCATGGACGGGTTGAACTGCTTGAGCAGTTGCACGGCGAACTTCTGACCGGCCCCGTAAATCCTGGCGTAGTTGATGACCTTGGCGTGGTCGCGCGAGATGCCGACCGCCTTGGCGGTGACGCTGTGCATGTCGGTGCCGTTGGACTTGGCGCCGATCAGGGTCATCCAGCCGAACGGCGTGGCGCCGTGTATCCCGCCGGTATGATGAGCGTCGCCGATCATCGAGGCGATCCACAGCTCCTGGCTGTCCACGTCCGCGCCCACGATGTTGTAGCCAGGCGGCGCCTGCACCATCGAGCGCAGCTCGGAGCCGATGCGCTCCGAGGAGGCGTTCGACGCGGTCATCCACGTGCGCTCGACGGCACGCCGCGTCAGCGTGCCCGACACCACCACCTGAGGGATTATCGCGCCGTAACGCGCCATCCGCTTGCTCTTCAGCTTCGTTACTCCGCCGGGCAGCGAACGATCGTCCAACCACACCACCAGCTGCGACAAGATCCGGTCGCGATTGTTCCGCCAATACGACAGCATGCGGGCGTTCTTCAGCACCTCGGTCGCGCTCGCGTCCAACCCGGCCAGCACGTTCTCCGAGAACTTGTTGAGGAAATCCTTGGACAAAGGATTCCCCACGTTCTTCCCCTTGCCGTCCTTGTGCGGCAATTTGAAGAAGTAACAGCAATTGTCGATGTCGACGTTGCACCACTCGGCAGTGCCCTTGTACACTGCCTCGTACGGCTCGGTCCTCGGCTTCTTGTCCTTCTTGAACCGCCAGAACTCGGTCTTGTGAAGGTCGTTCTGCACGTCGGCGCTCAGGGTGGTCATCGCGTCGCCGGAGGTGTCCCGGAATTCCCGATTGTCGATCGTCGGCAACGGGCAGTGCGCCAGGAGACTCTTCAACGGGAGTTCGGTCTCGATGCCGGGATCGTCGTTGTAAGGCACCAAGATCCCCCAGCCGTGCTCCTTTATGTAGTGCAGCGGGTATTTCTCCCAAGTAAGTCTCAGCAGCTTAGGGACCACCCTCATGGAGGTGCTGATTTTCCGCGGGCCCGGCGCCCAATCCTTGTCGCTCCGCTTGGGACAGAGCTTCCCGTACCAGGCTGGGTATCCCGGCATGTGGGGCATCTTGCTCGGCAACAAATACCTCATCTCTTCCAAGTACGCGAACTCTTTGGCCAGGGGATCCTCCTCTTCTTCCTCGTCGTCCGACAGGTACTTCGCGTCGCTCGACTTCTCGATCGTGTATCTCTTCCTCACGCTCGTCTCCGCGGACGTCGACGGCTTCTTCTTCAACTTGAGCGTCGGTGTGCTCCAATCTTGATCCCACATCCACAGGTCCTCCTTATATTTCTCACCGTGCATTAGCTGGCAGGCGGCTTTGGCTTTCTGTGCGAGAGTGAACTTGACCTCGTAGTTCAAGTCGTCGAACGTGCCCTCGGCTTCCTTCAGGTATCTCTGCCAGTTGGAGTTCACCGGTAAATAAGCTGAGCCGAGTTCCAACATTCCGGCTAGGGTGACCGGATGCGGGAATCTCTCCTGAAAGAGTGGAAATATCTTGGCCAGTATATTATGAGTGGCGACCGTGTCGGAGGCGCAGTAGGATATCAGTACGTCAAAGTTGTTCTTAACATCTTCGAGAGTGCCTTCGATGAATATTTCTCTCGCCTGCTTGCTTATCTCGTGGCCGCAGTACAGCTTGTGCACTTCCGCCAAGTTGTTCAGAGAAGTGTTGGCCTGCCAGTCGTCCTTCACGGAGTCCTCCTTCTTCGACATCAGCAGCGATCTTTGATAGCTGTTGAAACCGCTGACGCACACGTGCAACGACATGGTGTCGAGGAAACGAGTACCCGTGCAATTCATCCAATACTGTTCCTTGATTCTACTTCGGTCGTACGACACATTGTGACCCACGACAATCTTCGGTTTCTTCTGATGCTGATTCAACTTCTGTCCGTACTCCTCTCCGCGACTCTCCATAGGAACGAGCATACTCTCTTTGTATAATTGTGTGTCGAACGTCTGGCCGGTGTCCATCATGTAAGGCAAAGGAACTCGACCCTCTATTAAGGAATCCGATACCCAACCGTACCAAGCCTTATCGCTGACAGCGGTGGCAATGGTGGGCGAAGAACCGTGTTTCATGCACACTTCAACGTCGAAGATCACGCCGTCCTCCAGTGGGTAATCCACACTCTCTGCGCCATCCGCCGTATATCTGGTCCATCCTTCCTTGAAAAGCCATTGCTTCGGCATCTCGGGAATGTCCTTCATTATCTTGTTTATAATCTTGAGGTAAGGCTTAACCTGCGCTTTCCCGATGTTGTAGAAGTGCTCTTCCACATCCTTCCCCTCCAGAGTTGGCAATTTCATGTTTACGTCCGGCAGCCTACTCGCATCCTCCACGTTTATACCGTATAGACCCAAGTGCTTCTTTATATCGTTGATTTCTTTGTTAGACAATTTCTGCTTATCATCCTTCCCGAACAATTGTTCGTGCAATACTTTGGGCAACATCTGCATATTTATTTCGTTCACTCTAACACCGTCTTTCCTTAGATTAGCGTCTAATTCACCATCTTTGCTGGTTTCGGATTCCTTCAATCGCTGAGTTTCCTGTATACTGGTATCGTTAATTTTTACATCCTTCACCCTGGATTCTACATTTGAATTCACATCTTCGTCTACCTTCGACTCTTTAAACGTTCGAACCTTGACATCAAATTTACTTGATACTCCTTCGGGTTTCGTAAACAGTTTACAGAAGCCATCCTCGAAATTGTTGGGTATTGTCGGCGTATTATAAGTAGAGTTTGTTGCGCTATTGTTGTTTTTAGAGGTTAGGTCCTTCTGCTTGATATCCAAACTTCTAGCATTTTTCACTTGCAACCTTTTCCATTGAGTCTTCTTGTAGTTTCGAAAATTCTCCACGTTTGTGCACTTGTGCCTGATGCAAATATTAATCAAACGAATCTTCAGCCTCATTTTATCGCTTCACGTTTCTCCTTGTCCGAACATCACGTGGAAATGATGAAACACGTGCTCGGTACCTTCGGAACGAAACCGCGTACTATAAAGAAATACTTTGTTAACGATTTTAAGAGAAAATGAGATCTTACCTGATTTTGTAAATTAGACGAAATAAAATCCTGTTTTATTTAAGAAAACGAGCAGTAGTTCTCAATGATCTCCAGAAAATTGTTCAGTTCAACATACAAAACAATCAAGTCTGCATCAGACCACGTAACGAAAGCCGGTGAACTCTTCTCATTTTAACTACACTGTATCGCACCTTCTGCACATAAAATTGGATACTCGGCCGAAGAACAAGAAGAAAAAGTTCGCACAGAAATGAAGAAAGCCCACCTCTGGTGATTTTCACAATCTCCAACAGGTAAATTCATCGAGAAACGCAGTCATTTTATTGGCTGCACATCATCTTGAGATGTCACGTAGCCAATGAAACAGCTCTATGTTCTTTGTTGGAAACCGCCCAAACGTGTGTAATGATACGGACCTTACGGTACACTAGACGTAATGAATATTTCATCGCATGAAAAGTGCCGCTGAGTATATACCGATTAGCACTTGGTAAATGTTTTTAACGTGTATAAAACATTAATCGCGTAAAATTAAAAGATAAATAGTAACTTGTGGTGATATCAGAGTAATTAATGAAATTCGGGTATTATAAGCGACAGTCGCAATGCACGAATATCCAGGCGCTACGCGCTGGCCCGAGTACATTCTGGATTGATACCATTTCACGCGTTGAGGAATTTCTGATGTCGAGTGTACATCGATCCCCCGTCCGGTATCATGACTGCGACATCTTCTCGGCGTCCGCCAGTTTATTGTGTTCATCATGGCTTCGACGGGTTAGTGATTGTCGCGAAAATTGTCGTTTGATATGCATTTTAATTTAATCGCGCAACGACAGTACATTATACTAAAAGCGAGAGATCTCGTATTTTGCTCTTAACAAATTCTACACGATTTATCGCACCGATGAGACTTCACACACGCTTTCCGCGCGCTTGTCACTTTGACTTTTGCCGTCGCCGCTGTTTAGATGCCGCGCTCGTGTAATACGCGTGTAGGCGTGTCTGCGAGTCGTATTGAGGAGCTTTTGTCTCTTTTTTTAGAATCTCTGGTGTGCGACACTCTAGATCTGAGCGGCCAGGGTCTCAAGAAACTCAGCCGGTGTCCTTCGGACGCTGATATCAGCACGTTGATTATAGACGATAATGACTTACAGCGGCTTGATAATCTGGATTCTTATCACAGAATTACCAAGGTAGTAACTCATGTGAGAAACATTGTTAATCTGTGCATAAGAATGCAAGGTTTCTTCATACAGAATGCGGCGAGCTGTTTTGACGCTTTTTCTTTCAAAGCCATGAAAGAATGAAAAATTATATTTTGAATAAATCTTAATACGCGCAAGTTTTAATATATAAACATGATTGGTGAAATTTCGAAGTTTGTGATTTTTTATATATATAGTTCTATTATTGCAAATATATATTTGTTACGTGTTAAAGTGTATGTTCTATGGTTCTATCGGTTTCAGCTTTCGATAGTCCGAAACCAATTACTACGGATGTATGGTGTGTCCAAATTACATAATCTTGTTACCCTCAATCTGGCTAACAATGGTATACTCACAATAGAAGGCATCAAGGACATGACTAATTTGCAAACGCTCTGTCTAGCAGGTAACAATATCAAGGTATGGTCCAATAATGTCCCAGTAATTTATTTTTACAACTTTACGATAACTTATTGCATAATGTGATTGTATTACAGTCAATCGAACATCTGCACACGAATATCAAGCTGGAACATCTGGATTTATCTGAGAATAGCATCAGCCATATTTCAGACATCTCTTATTTACGGAATTTAAAGGTAAAATGTCGTGATTGCTCATTATAATAACGCAAGATTATGATGCAGTCGGATGCTCTGTTGTTGTGATGCTTTGTCTAACACATTAAATAAGATTTGACGAGCAATGCCAATTTTGCTATGTTCTCATGAAATAAACAATATTTTAGGAACTTTTCCTGCATAACAACCGCATAATAACGCTGCGTCAGTGTGAGCGCTACTTGCCCACGTCTCTAGAAACATTCACATTGGCAAATAACAATATCACCGACTTGAATGAAATGTCACACTTGGCTAATCTCAAGAATGTGGTGAATTTCTCAATTGCTAACAATCCGTGTGTCAGTATAACAGGTAACAGTATGTATCCTTTTTTGTCCAATTACGCTCTTCATCATCTCATCTAGAAGTTAGCCAGATCTATCGATGTTGTTTCTTAATATCATGATTATAGCTGCAAAGAATAATTTTATCGTTATCATTGGCGTGATATCATAGCGTTTTACCTTGTTAAACACCATGATCGGTAACTTTTACGTGTCTTAACACTCGCTTTCACACTCACTAGACGTAAGGACGTTAGTTTATATTAACCATAGTGTTGTTACAATAGCATATCATTCTTAACACATAGTTTATAGTGGGTTTGACTACCGGCCCTTCGTTATTAATTGGTGTATGAGCTTAAAATCGATCGACGGTTATGCAGTCGATCCTATCGAAAGGTGGGTCTCTCAGTTATCTTTCTTACGCAGTAGTTGATATTACAAGTTGAAAATTAATTCACCGTGAAGCTGGACTGAATCGAGACTGATTGGCAATAACGTTTGCTCAGCTTGAAAGCAGAGTGGCTATATTCTCAGGGACGAGGTAGACAATTCCGCGTCGGCGAACACGCGTTGCTCGCACAATATCTAGCGTCCGTCTGTCCGCTCTCGGGGGAGTCGTTAGAGAACGAAACGGACAGGAAGCTTAGACTGATACTGAGCAAAGCTCAGCACCACCAACAGCAATTGAATCAACAGAGCGATGCCGGGAGCGTGCACAGCTTGAGTAGCGTGGCGATGAGCCCATCCCCAGCCGCTAGACGTAGACTTAGCCATAACAGGACAAATTCTCCCAGACGACCTAGTGAGTCTAATAAATCCGTCGCTGTTGTCATTAGTAGCCTTTCATATTTCGCATTGCCGAATACTCGGAAATATATGTGTTTCTCTCGCGGATACTCTTAGAACTCTCAACTTTATCCGTAGTAGCGAGAAGTGGACTAGTAGTGATCTAGATTTTCCAGTCGTCAAGCCCGGTATACACATCCTAGTTATGATCTGTTTTCTCTAGTGCCAATGTTGACATACTATGAAGATAAATGCTTACAATCGCCAAAATTTTACGAAGCAAAGTACTGTGTCTGCCATTCCCCTTGCAAAGGTATCCAATAAGTCAGACTGAGGATTTGTATCGTTATTGTTGAGTAAAACCATACAGTTAGGAATGTGCGAGAATCTAAGGGCAATTTTTTGTACCTTTCAATGCGTAACGGTGACGAGAGATCTCCGTGCTTCAACGAGCGAATAAGTGGTCGGTGAAGTTATCCGAAATTCAACACAGCGTGAAGAAATAATTATCCCGAATTATCTACACTTGCTCTAACACAAATGTTAATTACACGTACAATATTTGTCACGTAATGTCACGTCTTCATTGCTAGTCCGTTTCAGCCTATATCTCATGTTTGTAACAGATATCAGTCAGTTATTCACAACACAATTGAAACGTGGGAGAATCAATTGGTTTGGATTCATGCACATGCCTATACCTCTCATGCATAGTACTTTCTTGAGCAGCCGCTTCTTTATAGGCTTTATAGCGCAAACCTTGACCATTGGCCAGTGAAAAGAAAGAAGTTCAAGTCTCGTTACCGAGTTGGCTACTTAGAAAATTATTTGTTTGGTGTATTGTAGCGTTGGACGATTTGGAAAGACCCTCACACATAGTTCACATCTTTTCTTTGTATAGCGTATATAATTTCGATTAAGTAGTCTACATATCATTTGCATGCTTGCGCTGGCGGGCGCTGGTGTCAGAGACATCTCGAGCACAAAATGAATTTCGTACCGTAATGATATTCGTCGTACGTGATAGACGTCAATTACAGCGCCGAATGGTGTTCCGTCAGGTTCGTCGAGAAATTTGAAAATGAAATCGCCGGACCGAATGGTATCCAGCTGTCATACGGACGCTATGGTCTCCTCGTGTCATGCTTTGTTAAGCGGCGATCACGACTCCAACCTGATGACCCAAAGCTTGGATCCTAACATGCTCTGCGGTACGTTGAGCAACAAGACGATGAATAACTCTTTGCAAGACATGGAAGGTAAGACAATGATTCATGCCCGTTTCTACCATCGTGGTTTAAATCGGCCAATTGGCCAATGCGTCAATTCCGTTGAGTTGATCGTCGATTAGATTTAAATTGTGATGGTGAGAAACAGGGAATAGTCGAGGCAAAATTTCTACTTTGATTTTATTGTATATTCCGACGATCAAATTCCCTGCAGAAACATCGAGCCCGTTGCAAGCAGCTACGAAACTGGTGCCGGTACCGGAGTCTCTGATGAGTCCGGACTTCCGTCCACCGTCCGGCCTTTCCCGGATCTTGCCCAAGACACCGCCGAGCAAACTGAGCTCCCCGTGTCAGGTCACGATACCCAGCAAGCCGTCTCTGGACGGTGACGGGAAGGCGATACCGATCATAAACACGGTGAATCCCATGGCGAAGACGAGTCTGAGCGCTCTCAAAGCGAATGCGCTCATAAAGAGCAATTCCGCGACGAATTGCAGCAGCATCGTGAAAGCGAGTATAGCCAAGCCGATCGTGACCTACGCCAACACCGGCAAATGTCCGCACAGTGTGAAGATCAACAATTACGTTCAGAGCAAAACCTTGCCCGCGAAGAGGAGTATGAAGGGCTCGAATCTGGTCAGGATTATACAGCGGCCGAAAAGCGCGGGCGAGAGGATGAAGAGTAATTTGAACAAGATGGAGAAAGACGGGGACGTCGATAACGGTACTCAGAGCAGCGACGAGGACAGCGAGGTGTGTCAAGCGAAATTGGACAGCATTCGGCATAGAGCTATTCAAAGAAGGCAGGAGGACAGTAATAAAGGTAGGATGCGATGTTTTAAAGCGATTTCAGGACGTATTGACCGTAAATCGAAATTATGAAAAAATTACGAGATGATCTACATTGCGTTTAAAAGTGACACCAAAAGTTTGACAGTAATTCAAAGCTTGGATCAAAAGTTATTTCACTTTAAAGAAGGCTTTAAGGTGAAATTAATTTAATAAAAATTCGATGAAATTTGCGTGTGCATTGAAATATTGTCTAACTCATTGCTCGTACGATTAGAAAAAGATTGACCATTTGAGAACTGAGATATTTGTAATGTCGACACTTTTTATACGTGTTTCTTAAGATTAACATGCTCTTCTGAATTTATATTTTTAATATCTTCTAAACTAAAAGAATAAGATTTTAATGAAAAACTATATTATGTTATTAAAGACTAATATGCAGACATTATACATAAACTTCAGAATTATTGACCATTTTGTCTTGAAAATACAGTAATGTCAAGTTCATAACTTATAATAACACGAAATATATATACATATCCATATATTTAAACGTGTACATACCGCTTTCTATTATCTGCATCTCTATTAGATACACATAGTATTAATAAGAAAAATAAAAATTGATATTTTCGTATTTGTAATTTTGTGTGCGTGCGTGCATGCGCGTGGACGCGCGCGCATATATATACTTCAACTTCCTTTCAAATTAAAACTTATTTAGATAATGAGATAAATGTACAGGAATGTAATTTTGCTTGATAAATACTAAATACTGAAAATAGCACTCATGGGCTATGCATCTTTAAAGAGTCGCGGGATCATTAACAGGTATTTCTTCATCAACAGATCAAGACCAAGCAGAGAAGGCTGCCATCTGCATTCAGAGGATGTGGCGAGGCTATCACACGAGGAACCTTAATAGCAAAGCTACTAACATATTAAAAACGATCGATATGATCAGAACGAATAAATACATCCAGTAAGTCTGTGCTCTTTAATTTATGGCGTGCGATTCTTTATAGAAACATATATGGGTTAAAATAGAATATAGATTACATGTACAAAATATTTTTTACAGAAAATTATCGACTGACATGGAAGCTACGAGGACTGCTTTGGAAAGCGAGCACAAGTTGCAGTTGCTACAGATGCAAGCGATTAATGCGTTGTGGAAGAAAGTCGTCAGTCTCCAACCGGGTAGCAATCGAGAGAACGCCTTTAACGACACGGACAACGCGCTGCAACCGAATACGGATGTGGTTACCAATCTCGCGCAAACGTGCAACTTGCTTCATACTCAGGTGCGTTTTTCAAGTTGCGAAAGACAGGATTTCTCTCTCTCTTTCTGATGTTTTGCATTTTTTTTTCTTTACCCAGGTCCAGCAATTGCAAGATTCCATGTCGGAGATAAAACGTTGCATGTCCAACATGAAGCCGAAGCCCGCTTTTGTCGACAACGGCGTGGCTACTCAAACCGAGATATCCGCCGTGCACACACCGGCCGGTGAGGAAAACACGTTTCCATACGGGCGTCCTAACAGACCGCAGAGTCTACCGATACATCAAACGATACATGAAGGAAACGAGAACAAGAGCTTCGCGTCCAATTTGGTGGACAGCGTGCTGAAGAAGGTCTCGCAGTCCACCGACACGACGGACGACGAGGTCAACACGGATATCTTGAATTCGAACGAGAACCCGGACGCGTTGAATTCGATCGAGCATCCCGAGATGTTCAAGAGCTGCGAGGAGATAATAGAATCCGATTTCAAGGAAGCGGTTGAGAACGAGGCGACAGACGATTACGAGAACATCATCGAGAACGCGGCGATAGACGGTGAGGTGTGCGAAGAGGCGTTGTGCAAGGAGTTGCATAACCTGATCGAGACGGAAAACGTGGCGGAGGATTACGAGAACTGCGAGAAGGACAACGAGGTGAACGGGGACGACCAGCAAACCTGTTAGATTTAACTATAATGAGTCGAGTTCGCGAAACCCATATGCCTTGTGAGTAACACAATCACGATAAGACGGTGAAAACGCGAGGAAGAAAGATGGATGTCTAAAAAATGCTCACTGTAAATAACGTCAAAAAAGAAGTAATTTTAGTCGTAACGATATTAGAGAAAACGATGTTAATTTTAATCGTGAATTTTGTTACGAAACGGATATTTTCATCACAAATAATAAGCTGCCATTCTGTCCGAACAAAGCGTAATTTAAATGAGAGAGAGAGAGAGAGAGAGAGAGAGAGAGAGAGAGAGAGAGAGAGAGAGGGGGGGGGGATTTTTGAGAGAACGAAGTTATGTCAATGACTGTAAAACATCTGAGCCATTTTGCGCAAACTATTGTGTTATGCGGTAAACCGTGTATTGTCATCATTAATAAGAAATTCCGGAAATTTTCCGTCCATACGTCCAGCTGTTGGCAACAGAACGAAGCATATGTCATCCAATCGTGAAAAGCATAGCATGTATCTTACTGAACTGACCGTTATAGAATCGTTCCCGAGAAAGCATCCCGCTAAGTTCGGCCGTTGCTCCTCGATATGAGGTTTGTCTTCTGTCTCTGAACTATAGGATTGAATTTTGTTTCTTTTTCCTTCAATGTTAAGTTATGCAGGGCGTCTCAGTTCATGCGACTTCAATTTTACCGAGAGGTTCTCTGAACAATTTCAAGTTAACTTTTCCTCTACGGAAATGCCGAGACACCAATAGTTTCCGAGATACAAGCGATTGAAAAAATCGAGCTTTTCGCGAACTACATTTCGAGCGATCCAATGGACAACAGAATTCCTTTCTCCGATTTATTTCAAACGTGCTTTAATGTAACAAAATTTTAATCTGAGACTTGGCTGAAAAGATATGCTAAAGACTGAAAAACTGTCGTAAATGATGACCTCCCTCGATATTTTCACCATGGAAAAATTAACTTGGAATTATTCAGGAAATCTCAGATAAAATTTAAGTCGTAAGAACTGAGACACCCTGTATACTTGTCTTACTCTAAACGGTAAAAAGTGCAATCTAGTTCAGAAACGGAACACAAACCTGTGATTTCTCACCACATCGGAAAACTACATCTTAAATTCTGGAGAAAGCTAATTAACGTAAACCCTCGGATCAAAGCATTTTTGCACAAGATATGTATTCATTATCCGTAAGACGCAATTACAATGTCCCCTCGGTTTCCAGTTTTTTCAACAATACTTTATACATATATATACACGTTTAGTAATTATTTATTTATTTATTTATTTGTCTATACGGAAAAAAAAGGAAGATTAGTTCTAATAGATACCGAAGATATTGAAATATTAGAAAAGATACCAGAGGTCGTACGATCTAGTCAATAGCTTTTACATTTAGGTACACTGTAGATATTTACTCAAGGATTGTTATGTAGATATTACTCAACTTTACGAAATAAACATTGTGAGAAACTTTCATTAAAAGTATGCGAAATTACGAGTAGTTGAAAAGCACGATTTGAATCACACTGGAGAAGCGTGACTCCGTTTCTGTGACTATTGATTGTCGATATTTGCGTGCGATAAATGTTGAATGAATAATTTAATAATCCGCAAATATACACGCGAGCTTACTGAATTGACACTGTGTATCGGCTGCAGCATATTCTACTGATAATATTTGAATGCCTGAGAAATTTTTAAAATAGTTCAGGATATGTCAGTGAACTGCGAGATAAACGGTTCGTGCGTGTCTAATTAACGTAACTTTCAAGATATTTATAGCAATGTTTGCTTTAACAAGAGGATACGCTTGAGCTTAAATTTATATTCTTCATTCCTGTGATTTTTCAAGGGACACATACGACCGTGATATAATTATAGCCAATGAAAAAAAGATAGAAAATACGGGTTGGATAGAGTCATTCATAAAACGAGAATGTAGAGGCATATTCAGTGTTGTATTTATTTTTCATTCGCTAACTACCCGTAATTTGTACGGTCTCGTGTCTTATTAAAGACAATATACGTCGATTATTACATATTTACATTGTATTTTAAATTGGTTTTAAAAAAATATACAGACAGTACGTTATATATATAATTTTCTCTACATTTCGGAAATATTCGTAAAATATTTTTAATTTTTCACTCAATATTCATAAAATAGTCATAAAATTTGTATTATTTGAATATAAAAATTTATAACTTTTCACGCCGATAAGTACTGAGAAATAACATTTTCATTAAAAACATTTTCTTATTTAGATGTAAAACAGTTAGAGCGATCATATAATTGTGTTAAATTGATGGAAAAAATTGATTCGTTCCTTCTTCAATATTTCTCAATATAACTCTTGTACCAATAAAAACAAACATAGATTTTTTTCATCAACCTAACGCACACATTGATTTCCCTTTAAACAAACTGCAGATGGTTATCAATGTAATAATTTTAACAATATGTAAATTTTCGTCGTAATGTGCAGTCTCCAAGTATAAAACACAGTTTCATTGTTTGAACATCCTTTGACACGACGCTTTTTCCCTTATTAAATAAGAATTCATAATCTTTTTTATTTTATTTATTTCCTGAATAATATCCTTGTTATTAGGACATTCCAGGAGTGCTTGCTGCAAGTCTGCTAAACCCAACTCATATTCATTCATGCCGATATAAGCTTGCCCTCTTCGAAATAACGCTTTGCTATTAGCTCTGTCCAATTTTAAGACCTGAATTAAATTGTGCGTTAAAGAGCATGAAATAAATCGTTTGTTTGACCTTTTCATCCGAATATTCACTCACCTCATTGCAATGCCCCATCGCATCGCGATAGATCCTTTTTCTTAATTTCACGGCAGCCAGATTAAGTAATATAATCACCTTGAGGTTTATCAATGTGTTGTCAGACGTATCCGACAAATCCGCTTGCTTCGTCATCCAGTTGTAATATCGCAACGCTTTCTTGTATTTTCTACCAGCGTCCACAAAATTGTTTCTTGAGAAATAATGGTTCCCAGAGTCTTTTATCTTTCTTATTACCTCCTTGACGTATCTATGCTACAGGTATGAAGAAATCGAAACAAAAAGGGTATAACTTTCTGACGCTTAACGCAAGGATTAACACGGGAAATTGACTTACGCTAAGTTTGTCGACGTGCGAGGAGTAATCCCAATCTTCAGGCCACGGTGTGTAAACATCCTCGGACCCGTCATTTTCTTCCATTCCCCAGCTTTCGTTTCTTTTCAGCTCTCCGCAATTCACTATGCGTACTTCCTAAACAAATCGATTGTCCAACTGAACAACCAGCTTACGGAAACTATCAGTCTCGTTTGTTAAAGAGATACATGGCCTCACATCAACTGGAATATCCTTGACAGTCGACACGCTATTGAGCTCCAATACTACGCCCATGCCTCTTATGACCTTTCCGAACACTACGTTAGTGTCGTCCAAGTGCAGGCAAGGCACGCAAGTGATGATAAATTGGGAACTGTTGGTGTTCGGCTTTCCCTCGTTCACCATACTGAGTAATCCCGGGGTTGTGTGTTTCAAATGGAAATTCTCATCTTCGAAATAAGGACCGTAGATGCTCTCGCCACTGGTGCCGTTGAAATTGACGATATCTCCACCCTGGATCATAAACTGTGGAATGGCTATAGCGAATAATCGATTAATCCAATAGTCACGTGTAAACGGGACGTAATCAGGAAGGATTATAAGATAGAAAAATATATGTACCTTTGTGGAAAACACATCCCTTGTAATGTAACCTCTTGGCGTTCACTCCGCCGCCCTTTTCGCCGGTGCACAGTGCACGGAAATTCTCTGCGGTCCGTGGCACGATATCCTTGAACAATTCTATGACGATTCTGCCCACTGAATAACAATGACAAGATTATGAATCTTGACAATTTGTCACATAAGTGTTCGCATCGAAATATTTATAACCTCATACCAAAGTACCTTTTTCGGGGCCGACGACAACATCCAGAAAAACTATAGGGTTCTTGTTCGTGGAAAAGTGACTGTCATTGTTGAAAGGATGCTTCATGTTCCCCTCAATTGCTACCTTGTGCAGTAATCGAATACCTGCACCTTGCCTGTAAAATTAATTCGTCAGTTTCATGACGACGGGATATTTATTCCTCACTAATAATAAATAAATAAAGATGACGTCTATTCGATCCACTGTTCAGTCGCGTCAACTTAATTTACTCTCTTTAATTGAAATGTGACCGTGACAAAATGGAATCAGAGCACTAAAATCGCATAAATATCAGAACACAGAGACAAGAAGAACATAATAGACGTAATAATCAACGTAACATTTTAAAATCAAACGATCGTCTTCCTAAAACAGCCTTTCGACGACAAGGGCCGAAATTCGAAGGTCTCGGAAGTCAACATTCGATAACTCGGTGAAAAGTATCTAGTATCGCACTTGCCAAGTACGCATATTAAAGGAAAAATCTTCACTTTCAAAAACGATATTAACTTCATTCACGTGCGACGTTTCGTTTACACGTTTGCGATCTAAATGAACTTCACAAAATCTTTCTTGCACTCGATGTATCTTTTATGAAATTCCTCAAGTTGCATCGCACAGAAAGAAACATCGTACACAACATTCTTAACACCATTTGAAAGGGCGGACTTTTTCCTTCAACGAGAGTAGAGGCAAATTGTACAGCGAGATTTCTTTTTATCGAATTATTCGACGTTAAAGCGGAAGAGCGGTCTTTCGGATTTTAATCGTGGAAGGTAAACGAAGAAGCGCCAAGATCAGTACTCACTGCCTAAAATCGCGTTCTCTTTGCGCGCTCATGCACACCGCAAGCAGCTGTAAGCAGTGATATGATTTCGAGCTCGGGATACCCCAGCGTCTTTTCCTTTCCACTACGCATCAGAGACGCTCCCCGTCTGTCCATGTGACACGTGCGTAGTGTCACACGGATGGACCGGGCGTCTCTGTGTGCGTGGCGGTGGGGGAGAAGCGCTGCACAAACCGAGTCTCTATTCTTCGAACGGTTGCGTATACGTGTCATTGCGCAGCTGTTTTACAACACGATTATACTTGCGCAAAAACACACTTACGTAAACGCGAGCTACGTTGTGTGTATACGTAATCATTTCAAAAATAAGGATTCCGGGCTCGAAATTGTATCATCGCGATATAAGTGTCATTCTATCTTCATCCTTTGGCACGAATGAACGACAAAGATAGAATGACACTTACCAAACAAACACACACACACACGCACACACGTGAGCTCCCAGAGAGATATTGCGATCATTTTACCTTCATTGGTAAATGTAAAACAAAGTTATGGCATTTTCCATCTGCTGACTCGAGGTCATCGTACTTTCTAAGAACGCGCCAATCAGAACGTTGTGCAAGGATCCTGAATCGCGTAGATTCAACGAAATCGAAAACGCCATTAGAATGATGCAACAGCGCAGATAACGCGCTCCCCCTAAACGCAGCTTAGAAGTGCAACTAGAAGTGCACCAGTGAAAACGTAGCGCTCCTGGATCGTCACCAGATCTCACTAGATCCAGCACGAGACAAAGGACTATGACCGGTTTCTTATTGAAGTTGAGCCCCGGGGAACAGAATTGGGATACGGTTGGGGTTGCAGGGTGTCGAAAAAAAGTCAAGAAGTTCCACGGGCACAACGAAATGAGTCTGAGAGTGAAATGAGTCTTCTGAATTCCAGGATGCTGCGTTCGGAGAGCACGCTATTAGCGCTAAAGCGTCAATTTATTTTTACTCCTTATTGGATGTATGACAAGGATAGAATAATTCGTTAGCACTGATCAACGCTGACAGCGCGCTTCAGAGCTGTTCGAAGTTTGCAATTACGACCGTTGATCTGTTCCTTGTAGCTGCACCGCTGAGCTGCAGTAATAAGGTAAAATAAGAAAATATATATTTGTCTTACTTCAACTTATCGCACATCCGAAGGCGAACTTAAGACGTTCTTAAATATAAAATCCGCCTATGAATACCAACCCGAGACCGTCTTAGGTTTATCTTCGGATGCTTTACGGTTGATTTCATTGGTTGCAAACATCTGAAGATAAACTTAAGACGAAATTCTAAATATGTGATGTAACTGTGACTGGTATTCATAGATGATCGGATCTTATGTTTAAGACGATAATACGCGGTATGCAATCCGACAGAATTCATACATAAATTTGAATATAAAAGCATTTTATAAGTTTTGTTGGATTGCGCATTTTATAAGATTTGTTGGATTGCGTTAAATAAAAAGTCGCACGTACATGAAGGTTATAACGTTTGAAAGTGCAAATAATTGCCTTTACTATACATACTTAATAAATATGATACTATATTATTTTATTGACTTATTAAACACTGAAGCCAAAATATTCTCTCGACTTTGATTGTTCATAAAAGGCATAAAAGGCAAATCAGTGTACGACATTGTATTCATAAAAACATGAATAAAAAGTTTGAAATTCGCCGTTTCAAATACATTTAATATATTATATAATATATTAATATATTTTTACAAATACAAATAAGTGTTCGTTGTAAAATTTTAATTGAAAAATGGGATTGAAAATCGGATGATCATTATTTTTCATTTAACGTGATATATTTTGACGAAAAATGATAACAACTTTATAATCTCAAAATATATAAAAAGAGACTAAGTTGTAAAATACTTCTTGAATAATTTTGTTATCATTATTTTTGCCGAAGTTACAGCCCATTCAATTTTGTCTTTGTTTCGTAATCGAAAGAAATGATCTATTTAATATTTTTTGCCTAACGCGTATTTATATCTATTATATTCTATAAATTTACGCATAGAGTCGTTATTTTTTTTTTTAATTACTCATTAATATATATTTTTTACGACCTATTTTGTACTAACGTGAAAGATTTATTTAAAAGAAGCACGACCTTCTATTTACGTTAAATTATATGTATTTTAGTATGTGATTATTTTTTATTATATAAAAAGAATTGAAATCATATTTTAACAAAATATTTATAACTTGAGCTATTTCGTAAATTAATTAATAATAAAAAAAATATATAGACATTAGTTCGATGAAAAAAATAGGTCCCACCGAGATTTGAACTCGGATCGCTGGATTCAGAGTCCAGAGTGCTAACCATTACACCATGGGACCTCTTGCAAAACAACGCAATAGATAATGTATATTCCCAGCTCGGATTTCTCGTTGAATTCGAATAATTATAAAATACCGATGCGTCGATCCGTTATCTTATCGACAACAGATATCGGTGGCTTAGACGCGTAACAATGGAACAATAACAAATACTCTTTCGATGACGGATAAAAATTTATTTACTTGATGCATTTGCAAAATGTCTGTTGGAAAATATGTTGTGTGTACATTGCACGTGTGTAACATGTATAAACATCTTTGTATAAAGCGTCTAACGTGCACTTGGACTATATAGGTGTTATTGTATTCGGTGCTAAAACTAAAACGGAGTGAGGGGAAACGTAAAATGCCGGCTGTATTTTCTCGTTTTATCGTTGTAATAAGTATAACAATAAAATGTGTCTCACAGAATAACGTATAACATATCGCTTTGTTATATAATAAAATTTTAATACATATATATATAATATTTATATTTTTTTAACTTATTACTCTTCTTAGAATTCCTTAAGAGAGTTCTCCTACATATATATATATATATATATATATATATATATATATATAAATTATAGTATTCTATATAAACAAGCAAGATATATCAATACACTTATCGTATATAGTCAAATTTCTAAAAGCTCCTCTCTAGCACTAGAATGTATATTATATACTATCAGAACTTTTTGTCCTTCATTACGCTTACCTGGAAATAAACGAATCTTATTTTTCGTATTCCAGCACGACTCATTTTGACTTTTTGTATATACGTAAATTGCATAATGTTGCGCGTTTAATATACACACGCGGTCCGCACCCAAGCGAACGACGCACAAATGAATAAGATCATTTTTCGGCTTAAAGCACTGTTCGTATTATTTTGAGCAATAAAAATGTACATTGTTTCTTCTCATAGTGCATTTCACATCACATGAAATTGTTTGCCTTTGTGTGTGTGTGTGTGTGTGTATGTGTGTGTGTGTTGTGTGGTGTGTGCGTGAATAAGCACACGTAAAACGAGCTGCATCTCTTTATCGATTCTTTCTTATTATCTTCATTTCACGTAGAGAATTTGGCAAAAAATTATTTTGAAATGATCTGACTTCTCGTTTGCTATATATAGATACGATACGATAGACAATATACGACCTATATACGATGCTCTCCGTCTTAAGGATGTCGATTATATATATAATACAAATACAACCTCACATAGAAATGCTTGCTCTAAAGCCAAGTTGAAGAAAGGTGCAGATACATATTCACTGGTTTTTTTTTTAATAGAAAAAAAGTAAACGTTCCTGTGCGCTGCCAGACAATAGCCCCCAACCGCGTTTGATGTTCAGGTATTGGATAATGGCACGTATGCAAATTAGAATCCCTGGAATAAATGTGCGACCATATATTATACATACTTCAAAATTAGGGGCCCCCGAATAATTGATAATGCGATAAACTTGAATATCTCAAATATCATACAAACCAAATGCCATTATTAGCCACCACAGCCATGAGTTCTCTCGCGAAGCAAGATCAGTGGAGTGTTTGACAATGAGGGTCCACTTCGTCAGGGATAATCCGAAGCCAGCTAGCGCGCCGTAACGAGAGGCGATAGTGTGGCAGAAACACATCAGCAGCAAAAATCCGATCCAGTTAAAGAGGAATGCAACTATATACAAACGAATAGATATAGATAATTGACGCTTCGAAAATATCTGCAGTATTATGTACGTTCGGTCACAAGTTTCGGTCGCAATAATTTTTTTTTTTCGATGAGCTTCGCAACACACCTTGCGTTCAATAGGAAAACGTATCTCCCGGGAATTATTCAAAAACGAATTCTCCTATTGAGTGCGGTATATGTTCTGAAGTTCTTATAGAAAGTGTTGCAACCGTGTGACTGATTATACTGAATGGTGGCAGATGATCGATATTTACCAAGAAACGCTGTAAAGAACATAAAATCCGTGCCAAGTAGCCCACTTTCCGGATCTCCGTCCGCAGCTTCAGTATCTATAGCCAGTATTGTCAGAGGTTGTTGTGGTGCTCTGACATTCCCTAGCTGCGAAATGTTTTACGATAAATCACAATCTGCCCGAGAGATGAGTGTATACTAAAATCCCTTCAATTACAATTAGATACCATGTGTATTTGAGGATGAGGTTCCCCCTGCAGATTTTTTTCACGCTGCACCTCTTCGTAACTAGGTAATCTTGTGGCTACCTCGTAGGGTGGTGGCGCAGAAAAATCTGGTTTTGGGGGTGGAATCTCCTCTCCGTCAGTCTAAATTAATTTTACCCAGTTAATGATCAATCAAACCCCTCATGCTTGCGTCCTGACATTACCATTCGATTTGCAGTTGTGGCCAGTGCAGCGGCAGAACTGCCGGAATGACCGAGCATGTCAGCCATGACTGACATAGCCACGGTAAGTGTAGGAATTTCGTTATTGCGCGACGCTTCGCCACTGGTATCCGCACTTGTTTGGGGCGGCTGTAAAGTAGCACAGATTTCGATTAATGAGACAGAGAATTTGCGTAGTTACCGTCGAAAAATCGGATCGTTGCGGACGTTAAAATACACGCGTGCTTCCTCGAATCGTGAGATAAGGCTGTTGATCGAGACAGGACGAAATAATAATCAAAACAATGTGACAACGTCGAAGAACGTTAGAATGACGTAAAACCGAACCACCGCGACTACGGCTTCGGAAAAATTGACAGTCGCGTGACGTCCGATTCCGTCGTGTGACACGAAAGTCGAGAAGACGTTTTTGCGTTGCGTGGCGAGAGAGGAAGAGAGACAGGTATATATATTTCGCGCAAGATATTCCGATACTCGCGAAGTGGAGCGAACGTAATGTCCGAGGAGCGTTCGGTGAAACGTAGATCGTTTACAAGCGACGGTTAGTCATTGGCGAACGTACCGTATTGTGACGAACGTTACTGTCCATGGTCGGCCAGATTTCACGTGAGGTGCGACAAGGTAACGTGTGTCGCGTTAACGATCCGTCGCGAGGGCCGGTGCGTGCCTCCTTCGGGACGCGAATTACTCCTTTTCCAAGGTAGCGATAGTGCGCTCACAATCGATGGCTGACAGCTGGTAAGACGTAACCGACGTGACCACTCGCGATACCGCTCCGGTCACGTCTATCATTTCCGACGTAGATAAGAGAAACCGTAGCTAAAGTCCGGGAAGAAAGTGCTCCTATTGGACAACCGCAACGGCTCTCAGCGAATTCGGTGCAGAAAGCCAATCCGAACTCGCGCTGGTAGCAGGTAAGCGGTAGATAAAGCAGAAACTGTCAGCTACCAGCGCGAGTTCTGATTGGCTGCTGCTTTTCTGATTTTCTGATAAGGTGTGAACTCTCCCTTATGCCGATGTATTCATAAGTTGCTTTCCAGCAAGAGACACAAGTTGAGTTATATCATCTTTTTCTTTACCGACTGTAAAATAAGAACACATGATGATATAACTTGACTTGTGCCTCTTGCTGGAAAATAGTCCGACCAAATCATATCTTAAATTTAAGGTCATCTTAAATTCATCTTTAAATATTGTACGGCTCGTTTCATTGGCTACGAAGCATCTGAAGATAAACTCAAGATAGTTTTAAAGATGGTTATAAGATCCAACTATGAATACCGGCCCAAGTCTCCGATCGATAATGTAGTTAGTTAAAATTTCGTATATTATAATTGGAAAAGGACGCTTTCAAGAAAGGATGAGACTGCCATCCCATTATGTAATAAAATGAATTCTTCCTGTTCCCCGGCAACATTGGAAATAAGGAGCTTCGAATGTCGAGCGCCCATTGGTCGCCGACGGTCGCGCATTGCGAATCGACCCATCAGACGGGATCCTAGCCACCGGAAGTGCGCGCTCACCGGAAACACTGGCTGTTAACAACTTTTAATCATTCTTCCGAGCGACAATGCATTATTCAATACATCAGGTAGATAAAAACGTACGAATTCGACATTCGTTTTGTCAGGTGCGAAACGCAACATCGGTCGGCAAGAAAGTCGCTTGCTTGACTAGTCGACCGGCATGAAAGGGTTCCGTGGATTGAGGAGGGTGGGGGGACGGCGACGCGAGGAAGGGACGACTCGGATAACGTCGCGCACAAACGACGCTGCGCTCGCCAGTCAGTCGCTTGGCGAACGTCAGAGGAGCTGTTTCCCCGACGGGACTTCGTCGAATTCTCTCGTGTCGTGATGTCGGAAGTATTCAAACTGGGTGATCTAGTATGGTGTGTATTGAAAGAAGTGTGCCCTAGCACGGCAGTCGCGTTTACACGTAGTGCTTCGCGTACTAATTCCAAACCCCGTGTCTGTTTCTAACTTTCAGGGCGAAGATGAAGGGATTCTCACCGTGGCCCGGCCGGGTAAGTACCGACTCCCCTCCCTCCCCGACATACCAGCGGCACCGACCCGTCGAGAGATCGTCGTCGAAACGCGGATTCGCGTTCTTCTTCCTCTCCTTTTCTCTTTTTCACCGTCAGTCGATCGTGTGTACTCTTCTCTCTTCCTCCCTCTCTCTGTATATGTCTCTCTCTCTCTCTCTCTTTCCAAGTCAAAGGCGCGCTGCATGTGACGCGTTCGCTCGCTCGTGTTTTGGCGGGTTTCACGCTTTTGGCATTTCCACCTCGCCTCGGCGGGGCCTGGACACGGTGCAGCGCGGCACGGCAGCTGTCGACGCCACCGCTCCGGCCCGCATCGCGTCCGCTATCTCCCGCCACACCCGACCTTCGAATTCAAATTGGCGCGCAAGACCGCGGAGATATAACCTAAATCTGTATACGCGCCGACTTCGCGTTCCGTCTCTCTCGCTTTCGGTCTTCGCGCTTCGGTCCCCCTCCTAGCCCGCTCTCGCCTCCCTCCTTTCTTTCCTCCCTCCTTCCCTTCCTTCCTTCCTTCCTTCCTTCCTTCCTTCCTTCCTTCCTTCCTTCCTCCCCCCTCCCTCCCACTTGCTCTGCCACCCGCCGCTGTTTCGTAACTCTTCGTCGCGGCGAATTGAATACCGATGCCACCGAGATCGCCGTGAGAATTTCAGAATTTGTCCCGCGCTCGCGTGTGTGTACGTCCTCATCTCTTTCTTTCCTCTCCCCCCTTTTGATCGGTAGAAATGCGACCAATGTTGCGCGAACAGCGACTCCGATCGGTTAGTTTTGGTTGCAAATTTTGGTGATTCAGGATGAAAGTAAATATATGGCTTGCAAGAAGAAAGACGAAAGAAATGAAGTGTGGGGAATGTAATTAGAACGAGTGCTCTCGAGTACTTTTACGCGGCAACTATCATCGACTTATGACAGGGCCGTATGAAGGTCGGAAAAGACCCACGGTGTCATACAAATTGCAAATGATTATGTAAACTTGGTGTAAATTTTGCATTATAAAATTATCCCTCGAGTATACATTTACATCGATATTTTTCTTAATTTAAGTCTTGAAAATTTACGGATATTAAAAATTTGTGATGTAAAACTTGTGAAGAGGAAATTGCTGCATTATACAAAAATATATTTATATATCTTTGTACATATTGTTGATATTATTAGGATTAATTCTTGAATAATTGTATGTTTATCATAATATTTCACTTTTACAGAATTGATATATTGTTTTAATTAATATTGTCTTATACATCGATAGATTGTGGAAAAATTGAGATTGAATATAAGACAAATATTAAGAGGTGTTATTTTATGTTATGACAACATATATATTGGTTTACAATATTAATTTTATAATGGCATGCAAAGGTGTCAAATCCTTCAAAGGACTTAAAGAAGCCTGCAAACACCAAGAAGGGACCAGTCCAATGCATCTTCTTCTTTGGAACAAATAACTAGTAAGTTTAATTTATAGGTATTTTATTGCAATAGATTATTACTACGATGTATTACAGAATAATATTTTTTTTCAATAACGTCTCTTTTGTAGCGCATGGATTGAAGAAACGCATATTAAACCATACCAGGAGTTTAAAGATACTTTAGTGAAATCTAGCAAATCTAATGCATTCAAAGACGCAGTAGAAGCAATAGAAGAATTTATCGCTAAAGGCGAGGTGAGTTCCATAGTTCATTGTATCCGTATTTAATAATTATCTTGATCAAATTATACACACATATATACATTATTTAAATTATGATTAAAACACGATTAGTAAATATAAAGTTGACTTGAAGTTAAATTATTAAATTAATAATCGCAACATACAACTTTATTAAAATCTAATTTAATAAAGAGAAACAAATATTTAACGTTAAAACGTATAACCCTTACTTGTGCTAAAAATGATGAAATCTTATATCTTGATGCTCCAGGTGTTCGAAGATGGTCTGGATCCAGATTCTCTATTTGACAGGCTCAAAGAAGAAACTATCGTTGAGAAGAAAAGCGTCACCAAAACGCCGAAACCGCGCAAGGTCAGCAAACCGAAATATAATTCGCCCGTATTTGTAACGATTTTTAAGGTCACACGTTTCGTACATTATATTTCTATGTATAACGAGAGAATTTATTGCTGCAGGAAACGCCGAAAGCTAAGCGGTTAGACAGTGGTGCGGGTGATGTTCGTCGACCCGCTAAAAAGCCGCGTAGGGATTCAAGTACCAGCAATAGCAACAGAGTCGGCAGTATCAGTCCCACATTGAATCACTCCACTCCGCCTAGAAAGTCGGGCTCGACGCTTCTGAACAGACCGGCAAATATCGCCAGACCCGTAAGTAATTCTAGCGATATGTGTTTCTCATTTTCAGTGGGACGAATTATTTGCCCGTGTACGATTATTTATTATTCATTATTAATATGTTTCAATTACAACTTGACAATTACAATTTGATAATATATTAAGAAACCGCGCGAAACCTCTGATCTCGATATATTAATACATAAATAAATAAACTTTTGTATGTATTGTGTATAAAATTCAAGTACACTTTTGAATGCTTTACGTACTCGTATCGTGCATCTAGCGCTAAATGCAGCTGTCTGAATTTGAAATTTATTCGGCCAATATGCATGGAGATTACGTACGACGTTACTGTAGACCAAAAATCTCAGGCGGCATGCGAAGCATCGATATGTACGTACCAACGCTGCGTCTCAGTGCCGTAGCTAGGCATACAGTAGTCCTGCCGCCACCTGTTGGTCCCTAACCCCCATCTACGCTGAATAAATGTATTTATAGTGTCGTTTATTTTCATATTAGAAACTTTGTCTACGCGAAGTATTTTACTTTATATCACTTCCAGCTCAATATCTATTGTGATACTTTAATATTTTGAGGTCGTAAATTTTATGACAATCCTATCCCAATAAACACCAACTAACAGTAACATCACATCGGTGTTATAATTTCTCAGTTAACAATGTAAATGCAATATAACATGTGCATAACAATTACATTGTTGACTGAGAAATTATAACATCGTTGTGATGTTACCGTTAATATTATTGTTAGTTGGTGATTATTAAGAATACATATATATGTACGATGTCCTACAAAGTCAACGTCTTGTCCCAATTGCAGATTTTTCGGTAAATTTCAAGTAGACGTTTTCTCGTAGAAAATCTTGGGTACGTTTTTCGCATCTTTCTGATTATTTCCCGCAAACATATCTTGATCATCAAGCACATCTGGTTAGAATTCGATTAAATTAGAGATTCCAATTACAACTTACGCACAAATTGCATTAATTTTCCCCGTAACATCGCTGTCTCTTTTGCCACAGGTCACGCCTCCCTTAGACGTGGAAACGCTGTCGCAGACTCTCAAGGAGAAGAACATCCTGCCGTCGACCCTGAAATTTGGATTCCTCGGGCTCGGTATCATGGGTAGCGGTATTGTGAAAAATTTGATCAACAGTGGTCACAATGTGATTGTGTGGAATCGTACGCAGGAAAAGGTATGTACCGATATAAATACAAATCTTTTTGTTTATTCTTTTCAACTGTAAAATCGCGCGCGCGGAGAATTTCCGCCGATGTCTTGACGCGACGATGATAGTAAGTACAATCGTGCGAGCGTTCATTATTCGCCGCGTAAAACAATGTTCCGAAGTGAACTCTTGTGTAACGTATACCTGATTGTGTATACACTCGCTTACGTGCCGCTCGAAAGAGACGAACGCAGTGATCGGGGCGAATTATCGCGTGTAAACTCGAACGTGTTCGATAACAATTGCATTGTATTATTCTCCGTTGATTATGGGCATAATACTCCATTTTATTGCGATTGATCGCTTTTATCTTGCATTCTCAATTGCATTCGCTAAATCCGACGCGCCGCATTTGCACCGTGATGCAAACAGGGGGGGGGGGGGGCGGGAAAAGGGGGGGGNCAATAGTACTGCAATAAACAATGAGATTTATTAACTTAATAACTATCGTATAGGACTTGAGCAGATTCTCCATTTCGGTCGAAGAGAGTAACAACGCGGCATTGTTTCCGGCTAAAACGAACGGAGTTGTTGTCTATTACAAATGGCTTTCAGGTCTTTCACATCGCTCGGTCGATATTTCGAAACTACTTGATCGCTCGGCTTCTCTCTCTCTCCCTCTCTCTCTTCGCAACCGATTTTCCGATGCGCCACGCTCGAGTCTAAGCGAACGTGGGTACACCTCTCGATATGGCTCAGTGCTGTTTCCTCCACCGTTGCAATCCGCAAATTTACGACGGTACGAGATAACGCGATTCAATGCCGTTATAAATGTGTCGTTCCCGCCGATACGTCCGTTAGTACCCCCGTGGAATAAGAAAATAGGAAACCGTCGACTCCGACGGGGACGTTTAGGCGGTGAAATTTCGGGAAGATAGCTCTTGGCAGGGTTGGATCTAACAGTACTCTCTGAATGATATTTTCGTGGTAGTGACGCGGCTCCGTAGTGGAATATCGCTCCGGCGGGGAAAATCGATCACATACACATACACACACACACACACATCCCGACAATGTGAAAACAGCACTGCTTCAGCGTGAAAAGAAAAGAAAAAAAAAAGAAAAAAAAAGCAGACGAGTCCGCGAGCTCAGGACTTGCTTTCTTTGGTACGCGGTTTTCGAATATCGGACTGTAACACGAGCGGCTTTACTCGTGGCACGGTGCATATACTCGAATGTTATCCCGATAGCCCTTCGATATTTCCAACAAATACGCGAACGACAAGCGTCGTCACTTCTCGTGAGACTCGCGATCAAATTTTATTGCCCGCGCACATATATATATATATATACGTGTGTGTGTGTGTGTGTGTATGTGTGTGCGCGCGCACATTTTACATGTATTTATTTATTACGTGATAATTAAAATTTATGTAAAAAACGCACGCTTTAATCGTCACCTTTGCGCGGTCGCACCGATTTCGCTTAATGCGTACGCAACTTACGGCTAATTGTTGCAAGACATTCAATAGTATGTCACATAATAACCATTTTCGAACAACGCACGCACATAATTTTTTCCCTCCTATTTCTCTCTACTACTAATAATTCGCAATATTGCCGTCGTCTCACTTCAATGATACACGATAATCACAGTGTGTCCGCGAGAAAACACGTTAAAGTGTCGAGGTTGTGTCCCGAACGAACGGGGTCGGTAGAGTATATGTTTAAGGACATCCTGCACTTTGATGAAAGTAAAATTCTCCCTCTACTTACCGCTACATCGCTAGAGACGAGAGACACGTGTACGTACTACGCGATATATACATATGTAAATCTTTTCACTACAAAATTATCTCTCACGATACAGTATTGAATCTCGCTGAGAACGGCGTTCACGGAGTCATTTCACACGTCGTGATAGGATAGATGGGACAGACTTTTGCGTGTCTGCGAATCGTTCACGCATAGCGCGGAGATCATTCCTGAAAAGTGGCATCTCACGCAGTCCCGATTCATCATTTCGTATTGTTTTCACGTCTCGGTCGGTCACGGTCGAGAACGATCAACGTTCGCGCTATTTAATTCGCATTACGTGTGTGTGCGCGCGCGCGCGATCCCTCCGTTAAGGCTTCGCGGTACAAAATGGCGTCGTATAAAAAATATACATGCTGGAAGCATAAGTACGAGCTTTTCGATCTGTGGAACGGAGAAGGATCCTGCTCCCCCCCCTCTCTCTCTCTCTCTCTCTCGTCTAAGATTCGATGTGCCGTATTATGCGTGTATAGTATTCTTTAAACTATTCTCTAAGCGTAGTATTTCAAGTTTCTCGCTTCTCCCTTGTTCCACCCGCCTTCGAGTGCGCGGATCTCGTTGCCCGATAGGTAATACCCCGTTTAACTAACAAGGTAGAAACGCGCGCACCACCGGTTGAACTTTATTTTCTCGTATACCGTCGTGTATATAATTCACACGTATACAGTCCCATATGCGTAATAAATGAGAAAATGACACGCGTGCGCGGGGGGGGGGGTTCGCCCGTGAAACGATACCGATTATCTCAATCGAAAGGCCGATTGTGGCGAAAGCTCTTTCCGGCAGCTCGGTAATTGGCGCTTTCAAGTAGAACATGGATCTCAATGGCAACTTAATGGCAACTATTAATCCAACGTGTTCGTTCCGAACACTTCCGATATGTTTTCGATTACATTTCCACGCTTTGGTTGTTGTTCTCTCGTTGACGAGAGTGGTATAAATGCAGGTGTTAAACTATCGAATAGTACAGGCGACGAGGTTTCGCCTCTGGAAGCGATACCTCCCCGAGTTTCCGTGGTTTTCGATTCTTCATTGCTCGAGTGTGCATATCGGAATAATAACGATTGGGGTAGTTTGTAAACCGGGAGTAGAGAGAGATAGATATATATGTACACAGTTATGCGTCGGAATAGTATTACATAGTAACTTACAACGTTTTATCACAAGATCCGATAGTTGACTTCGCAAGAACAAAGAGCGCGCGCGCGCGCGCGTGTGTGTGTAAGAGATAAAGTTAACTCTGGAACCCTGGTAGTGGTTCTCTGCGCGGGTTCATGCGGAAAAATGTATCTACATTCAGGCTACATCCCCCTATTCGAAAGATCGATTACTTTATTTTATTCAAGCTCGAAGTACCATCTCTTACACTTCATTGTTCAATCATCGCCTCTCGTTATCCAGCGAACAATCGATCGGAGGATATCCGATGGGGAGAAAGGCGACTTCCGCTTCAACGAGAGGCATACACACACACATATACCTTTTCTTATCGTAAGCGTAAAATTTATTTGTGTGCATCGTGCATAGTTATCACACATTTGAAATTGATTTAGTTTTTCCGGAGTCGATCGTAAAGCGGGAAACCGTTATCTTTAGTTCGCTCTGTTAAAACTTCTCGCGAAGTCGCGAATTAATTTCACAGTACATAAAGTATACATTCGTGTGTTTATGATTAGAGTTCAGAGTATAAATTAGAGAGGAAGAATAGCTCGACGTGAACGCTAGAGTGGCATGCGCGAGAGCATATCGACGACGTTTGCGAGAGCCGGTGGCTACGATCAGAGGCTCTGTGATCGATTCCTCTGTTTGTCTACCGCTACCCCCATTTCAATTCGCACCTACGATGACCGGTACGCGCGCAGGGTTCGCCTGAAAAGCTGCGATTCGATAGCGGGGGCGTGTGCTTTTCGTGATAAATGTGTGCAGACAACGTTTCGTCCGTCGAACGGCTGAACAATAATAAAAGCCATTATTAAGCTGGCTCTTACATTTTTCATAAAGATGATAAAGCACCGTTAATACGCGTTTCGATGATCGAGATAGCATTCAATTTACACCGTTTTGGCCATTTCGAAGCGAACAATTCGATTTAATTGGTAACTTATTACATAAGAACTACGAGACGTTATCGCAAGGCTTCTTGCACTCTTCGAAAAAATTCCTAGAATCCGTAGGTGGCATTGATTCTATCATACAGAAGCACTTGTGTCACCGGAGATATTCTTCTGTTTCGTTCTATTATTGTTTTCATATCGATAACGCTGGAATAGAGTTTTCACGCACAGAGAGGTATGTGTAAAACGCCGCACGACGAAACACATGAAAGAATCATTCAATTTTTCGAGTTCGAGACTCTCTTTTTATAATTTTAGTTTTTATAATTTTGAACGACTCGGCTTTTGTTGGAAACCGCAAAGCGCACGGGGGGGAATTTTTCCTGTTGAAGCGAAGAGCATATCCGCGAGATAATTTGAATTTGAAGAATCCGTTCATTCGTCCGTAGCCGAAACTCGACACATCTGGCGCGTTTTCACGACTCTCGCTCTCGTGTTTTCACCGGGACGCGACTTTTATTTCATCTTTGCAGGAGTTTATTGCGTGTCGCCAGGAGGCTTCGTGAGGGCTCTCTGTGCGTTTCGCGTTAATAATTCTATGTGTTCGCACCGGCTGAAAGCCGCACACGCGGAACGCGCGCTTTTTCGTTGTAATTTGCAACATATATCCGCGCGCTCGCCGGTGTGTATATTTATTTTTTTTTTTAAAACGGAACTCCCTACGTTCGCAAGTTCGAGGGAGGATCCCGTAATCCGAGCGTTCGCACTCGGACGTTCCTTCCGAGCCGAGAAAACGTTGACTGCACGTCCGTCAAATCCGACGTCGATCCGCTATCGATTCCCGCTTTCCCGGCTTCTTCGGCCCACGCAGGTTTTCGCGACAACGCGTTTCATCGCCCGTTATTGTCAGTTTCCCGTAACGTTAATTACGAGGCCGGCCGGCCAGCCAACCGCATAGTTTTCCCCTCACAGTCACAATTCTCTCGTCTTACGGTCCCGTTGCGTCCCCTCCGCCGCCACAAACTACGATAAAACTTTATCTCTACACAACGGCGCTGTGACGCGATCCAAAAATAACAGCAACACTCTTTTGGCCGCGGTCGTTTTCCGCCCCGTTTTCTCTCACTCTCTCCTCCCCCCCTCCCCNGTCGTGCCGCGGTGACTCAGTCGTTTCCGAGCGATTGACGTCGTTCAAATGGATCGGTATTATGCGATATTTGCCCTTTCCGTGAATCACGCTCTCTCGCTTCCTCCGACATGAGAGAGCGTTGTCTTGCCTGACTGACGGACGGACGATTGATCGATGCCGAGCGAGCCAAGTCCGCAAATAATGAGTCCGAATGCAACCGTGTGCCGCCGCATCCGAGACACGAGTTATGGACTCGAAGGGGGGGGGGGGGTTCACTTTCTCATCCTNGGGTTCACTTTCTCATCCTTTGACCTCTCGACTCGCGAAACTTCCATCATCGCGAGACTCGGGCGCGCGTCGCGACGCGAGAGTGGGATACTGGTCGTCAGAGCGATCAGAGCCCGCGTTAATTGGATTCTTTCGAGAGTCGGCAAACGAGAACTATGCGAGAACCGTCGGTGCACTTCGTTCGTTGTTAATTGTCGCGGTTGGTAGGTCTAATTCCTTCCACTTAACACGTGTCTAAGGGAGACAATCGCCGAACCGGCTCGATCGAGTTTTCGGCGTATTTCTATATCTCTATTTTTCTCTTTCTCTCGTTATCTCTCTCTCTCTCTCTCTCTCTTTCCGAGGGTCTGATCGCGCGAGATGGAATCTGGATGGGAATTAAGACGTGCAGATGTATTTGGCGACGTACCGTCACAGGATTTATTCAACAAAGGGGCGCACTATTGTTGCAAAATGTATCGGAGCGATTCATTGCGATCAGAAATGTACAATACAATGTCTTTGTTTGCTTTCGACTCGAAAATATTAACAGCCGATATATATTTCTATATATATATATATAAATATATATATATATTTATTTATTTATATATATATATATTTATTCATATATTATTTCTTTTGTTCTTGTTACTTTCTTTCCTCTGCGCGCGAACGATAAAGCGCGAGTGATACTGGATATGTTGGTGCAACGATAGAAAATTAAGTACGTACGTTCGTTATTACTCGTCTTCTCGGTATCGGTATGTCCTTCTTCTTCTTCTCTTTTAGTTTTCTCTCCCCCTCTTCAATAAAGATACACGCTTCCGTATACTCGAACAATTTGTTTTGCTAAAGACAAGCGACAAAAGAAAAGAAAAAAAAACGGCGAGCAAGCGAACGCCGGCAACACCACGAGGTGTGTGTTTCTCCTCGCTGTGAAAAGATTCGTCGTCGCGTTCGCTTACTGTCGCGACGCGGAAATCGAGACGAAGAAGGAGAAAGCAATTGTAAAACGAACGATCGGGCGAGTCCTCGATCCCACCGTCTCAGTCTTTCGTAAAAGAAGATCCGACCTGTTTTTTTTTTTCTCTCGATCGCCCTCCTCGCGGGCACTGATACATAAAACTTTCGCGCACGCCTATTTACAGGAAACAGTTAAGAAATCACGACTCTTCGACGGGAACCCCTCCCCCTACCCTCCCCGGAGATCGCAACTTTAATGAACGTTGCGGAATTGACAACTAGGCGAAATTACTTATCTTCCACCATCGCGCTTTTGTAAAAGGAAACCGGTCTTTACAGCCAAGTTGACGAAGACGCGAATTGTAATTCGCGTCGTTCCTTTTTTTTTTTATTATTCCCCTTTCTCTCTTCTTCATTTTATATATATATATATATATATATATCTTTTGTTTTCTCTCTATTTTCTCCTTTCATCTTCCCGAGTGATCATCCAAAAACGATGACACCGACGAAGAAAAGCACACGTTGCGGCGAGACGGACAGGTTGCAAGGTTGCCGACCGGTCGAGCAGCTCCCGACCAGTCCGGTCCTTGGAAACTGTCCGTAATTTTTTTTGTTCTCCTAAAGTTAACACATGCACACACACTGCGATCGATCAGTCATCGATCTTGGCAGAAGGATCTCCCGTTTCTTGGCACTGACACGAGTTCTTCTCGAACGATCTTCTAGGATACTCCCATGACGTCGAGTCGTACATCAAAACCGGAAGAAGCTTCATTATGGTACCATCTGTCTCTCTCCTTTTCTCCTTTTCTTCCTTTCGGTACCTCGAAGACACAATTCCCACAATTACTGGTCACAGAGACAGGCGACGATCCCTCCGTTCCGTTCACCTTTCCCCGTCATCCAAGAACAGTCTCTCTCTCTCTCTCTCTCTGTTTTTCATTAGATTTAAATGATAGCAGGAAACCCGTTCTTGGCCGGCCGTTCTCGACGCCTCGCCTCGTTGTCCGCTAGAGTTTGGTCTCGCGTGGAAGATCAGGTAGACTGTTGCTAGGTACTAGGAGGCCGAGGGCCTCCGAGGTCTGTCGAGGTTCCTTGGCCAGAATCTCCGGGCCGGAGCCTTTGAAGATCAGCTTGTTCTCGTAGTTGTTGCGAGCGGACAACGCACTGCCGCCGTACTCGTCGATGCATCGCAGCATCGTCACCGGCAGGATCGTGGGCGCCGGAGGTGGCGGCGGCGGGCCGCTCTCTTCGATGTAGTTGATGTGGATGCCCTCCATCATGTTCATACCGTGCGGACTGGTCGATGACAGCTCGGTCGGTGTGTAGTACTCGCTGTTGACGTCTTCCTGACTCGGGCCCGCCGCCAGGTCGTCGATCGTCTTCGCCTTGAAGTAGGTGTCCATCCCGTTGAGATCGTCCTTCGCAGGGTCGAAGACCATGGAGTCGCTCTTACCGCACGAACCACTCCGGCAGTTGTCAAAGTACAGATTCGGCAGGTTCTCCAGCACCTTGTTCAGCGTCTGCTGCTGGTACTTGTAGCTCTCGCGCAACCGCAACACTTGGTGGGCGCTGAACTTGCGGATCTTGTTGCGTTGGAAGACGTAATTCTCGCGCACCCAGTTCAGTTGGCTGGTGGAGTAGTCGCGCACCCTCTTCACCTGCGGGGGGAAACGGAAAAAAATAGACGCGTCTAGATGCGTATCTGTCGTCAGCGGTCTCTCATTTTTATCGCGTCTCGGCATCCCCCGATATCATCGTCGAGATGTGGAATCGCCGCTGCTGTGATACGCGGAGACGTACCACGCGGATGTTTTTTCCTCGAACTTTGTTACCTCACGCCAGCGAAGAGAGATCGCAACACGAGAATTTCCCCGATAACCGGTAAAACGAGGCGTTCGCTCGGGAAAGAAGTAGAGTTCCGTGTATTACCTGATCATAGTACTGGTCTCTCAGCGCGGTCAAATGAGTGGTACCGTAGTCCCGTATGTCCCGTATGTGCCTCATCTGACCCTCGTAGCTGTCGCGGATCCACTCCACTTGCTGGACGCAATTGTCCTTGATTCTGTGCACCTGCTGCGTGTAGTTTTCCCTCAGCCGCTCAAGCTGCTGGCTCTTGTACTGCTCGATGTTGTCGAGCATCTGGTAGATCTGCTTCGCCCTCGGCGTCACTCCCACGCGTCTACAGCACGAGCACCACTTGATGCATCCGCACCTGCGAGAAAATCGTGGATACGTTAGAGCGATCGCTGTTGGAAAAGTGGCGAAAAGAGGAGGGGGGAGGGAAGAAGGAGGGAAAGAAAAGAAAAATGCGGAAGCGGAATGGTCAGGTGGGACGCGATCGATCGCGCCTGACCTTCCACTCGACAAACTATCAACGGCCGACTCGGTTTTCTCGGTCCGGCCAATACTCACTTGAAGAAGACGTACCGCAGCAACTGCAGGAACAACGTGAGCAGGAGGAAGCCCGCCGCGCAGATCGCGCCCACGACGATGCTGAGGATCTTGATGTTGTGCAATGTTACCGGGTCCATGTGCAGCGTCACGTAGGCGGTGTGATTGGCGATCGGGCTGTCCGCCGTGCACTTGTACAGGCCGACGTCCTCGCGCAGCAGCGCGCTGATGTAGAGCGAGCCGTTCTCCAGGATGCGTATGCGGCCGTCGATCGGCGGCGGATTCGGCAGCCAGCCGTGCACCGGCGGGTGCTCGACGAAGGCGTCGGGGAAGCCCGGATCCGGCATCCAGTGGAAGACCAGGCCGTTCGGCGTCACCCAGGTCAAGGAGGGCGCCGGGTTGCCGTTGAACTCGCACTCGAGCAGCACCGGGCTCAGCAGGAGGTACCGCTGGGTGCCGGTCGCCCTCACCAGGGTGGGCGCGCTGCAATTGAGGTAGCGCAGAGTGCGAAAGATGTCCACCTCGTCCTCCTCGTGGCCGCACCTCAGCCCGCTCTGGAAAGCCGCGCGCAGATGCGTCCTGCTCTCGGCCCACTTGACGAACCAGAACATGCGGCAGTCGCACGCCCACGGGTTGCCCTGCAGCTGCAGCTCGTCGAGCAGCGACAGATGCGCGACGTTCGCCGGCAGGAAGGTCAGGTCGTTGTTCCGCAGGTCGAGCCGGCGCAGGGACGGCGTCTCGTTCAGCGTCAGCTGGCCGATCTCGCGCAGAGGGCTGTCCCTCATCTCCAGCGTCTCCAGCTGGCCGAGCCCTCCTAAATTCTCGTTCCGGAGGTTCTCCAATTTCGTCCCGGACAACAGCAGGGTCCTCAGCCTGCTGACCGGCCGCCAGAGGTCCTTCGGTAGCGACACGATCGGCAGGTGGCTCAGACCGAGCCATCGTAGATCGGCCAGGCCTTGAAACGCGACGTCCGATAGACGCGCGATCGGATTAGACCGGAGGTCGAGGTGCTCCAAGGCCGAAAGCTCGTTGAAGAGGCCGCGCGGCAGCGCGTCGATCTCGTTCGCGGCGAGGTCGAGCACCCTGAGCCGCGCCAACCCGGAGAACAGCCGCGACGGCAGCTTCGTCAGCCGATTGCCCGCCAGCCGCAGCTCCTGCAGCCGCTCGTTCAGCCGGAAACTGTGATCCGGCAGGGAGACCAACAGGTTACCGCCGAGATCGAGCCGCGCGAGCTCCCGGGCGGGGGCGAACGCCTGATACGGCAGTACGGAGAGCCGATTCGCCGCCAGACGGATCTCCTGAAGGCGGTCCAGACCGTGGAAGAGAAGCCGCGGCAGCGCGACCAGCCTGTTCCCGGTTAGATTCAGGTACTGCAGTTGGTGCAACGGATGGAAGACGTCCGACGGTAGCTCGGCCAGTCGGTTATCACCTAGATCGAGCCGCTCGAGGTGCGCGGTGGCGCGGAACACGCCGGGCTCGACCCTCTCGATGCCGCTCGACGTCCACAGCAGGCTTCGCAGCTTGACGGACGTCTCCAGCGCGGCCACCGGGATCGCCGCCGCCCGGACGTTCCTCAGCGAGACGCTCGTCGCGTCCCCCGGCAAACCGAGGCCGAGGAAGCTGCGCTCCGCGCACACCAGACTGCCGCCGTCGTTGCTGCTGCCCTCCGCGCACTCGCACCCACCCGGACATCGCGACGATGCGACCGACGGCGGCAGCGTGTCCGAAGGCGCGCCCGCGACTCGCACCACCACCGCGACCAGAGAGACCAACCACCAGCGCGAACTCCTCTTCGCCACCACCGTCCGCATTCCTAAGACCTGTAATGTGACGATTTCCACGGATACAGCGATCTCCCATCTCCTGACGTGGGGGGAGGGGGAGGGGGGGTAGGCTTCTTCGCGGACGCCGAGATTGATCTCGAGCTTTTCACCCGTCCGCACTTTCTCCTCTTCGATCGCGCTGTCGATCCTCGGCGCCTATCTCTGTACCTCCGTTCGATCTTTCGACGAGCTCTGCGTCTTTTTTCTTTTTTTTTTTTATACACACACACATACACACACTACTGGTAGCTTCGATACGACCGACCGCGAGCACGTGCGTCGGGAACGGCCGTCGCGCTCGTCACCTTTCGCGCTCCGTGTGGACTCTTCGGGAAAGACAAAGAGAGGGAAAGAGAGACCAGCCTGTGTGCAGCTTCCGCGCGTCTCTCTTCTACTACCTACCTACCTACCGAGAGCCACCACGATCGTGTTCCCCGCAGGCAAGCCCGAGTGTCTCGCTTCCGGAGAACAAAAGCGGGAACGGGTAACACGGCGACAGAAGGAGTGGCCCGGCGAGAGAGAGAGAAAGAGAGAAGGTGTTCTAACCGTTCGCGAGGAAACGACCGCCACGGTGTCTCACGCGGGACGTCTCGAGCCTTCCGCCGACGACGTTGCGGCCGGTGTCGATGGTGCCGTCGCCGCGTCGCACCGGTAACATAATTGCGCCACGATACTGGCCGAGGAGCGCCGTACGAAATCGCGGGGGGATAGCAGTCCGCCGCGGTGAAGTCGGCACCGATGGGTCTCTCTCTCACGCACGCACACACGCAAGCGAGCAAGCGCAACAACACGCGTTTATTTTCCTTCGCAGCGCGCCCTTCGCCTCCTCCCCTTTCCCTCTCCCGATCTCGTCTCCCGACTCACACTATCTTTCCTTCTCTCTCCTCCTTCCTCCCCTCTATCTCTCTCTCTTTCTCCGTCTTCTTTATTTTTTCCACCGAAAGCCGCCGCCTGTCCGCGTCGTGCAGCAACGCCGCGGCGCGCACCACTTGTCACGCGTGTCACATGACACGCTCTTGCATATCTCGCGCTACGGCGACCGGCCGCGTCGCCCGCCGCGCGTCAAAAGCAAAAAGCGACTGTGCCGGAGATCCGGACGACTCTACCGCGGACTCTCTCCTCGTGGCGACCGCCGGTTCGCCCGAACCGGCAACACCGCCGGCTCCCCCAGTCGTCGGCGTCGGCGCAGACCTAGCGGAGCTCTCTCGCAGCTCGGGACGAGCAGAGTGAACGGGAGGAACTAGAGCGAGCGAGCAGCCGGGTGAGTCGGGGGAAATGAGAGAGAGAGAAGGGGAACGTATCATTGTGAAAGAGCAGTTCGACCGACGGGTGGGGGACGAAGGGGCTGCGGGAGCCCCTCGGCAACGGCCGACGAGAATTTGAGCTTGCCGATTGCTCGATGTTTCTCGAACCGAAAACCCGCGTCCCTCTCGTCGTCAGCGACCCGAGCGCAATATCTATTTTAGCGTTTAAAGCGTTTACACGCGACTATGTCGCCTCCCGAAAGTCCTCGTCGTCACTTGGCTGAGAGCTCGTTCCCGTCGATTTAACAGGTCTAAAATAGGTCCCAAGTTCAGTGCCAAATTAGTCGCTAAATGCCCCGATGAGAAGGCGCGACCGGGAATCGGTTGCGTTTACCTTGCGGTTATCTCGATCTTCGATCAACGACGCCTTAGCTGCTCCTCCGATACGCCATTCTGAGCGATCACAGGGGAACGCGTGCGATCGACCTCCTCGAATTCATTCCCAACGTGCGCTCGCAGTCGAGCGAACGTGCCGGTAAGAATAGCTGAGAAACGAGGAGAACAGGAGATTTTTGTTCTCGGGAAACAATGAAGGCTCGCGCGTCGCGACGTTAGATAACTTTCACAGGCTGATTTGTCCGTCCGAAAGGTAGGCCGTGCGAATCGTGTGCCGCTCGTCGAAAGTTCAGAGAGCGGAGGCGGATGAAGAAAATCCACTGGAGCGCGCGCCCGACGATACGCGCTCGAGCCTGCGGTAGAAAGGGGCCTTAAACTTTGATTCACGCTTAATGGAACCGGTCGGCGCAGACGGTAGAATTTCACGAGCATCCGGAGCACATGCTCCCACGCCTCGCTCGCGTTCAATCAAATCTATTTCGCCACAATGCCCCGTGTACCAACTGTCGCGCTGAAATCCTCCTCGATCGGTCGCGCGCGGAAATTCGTTACATCCAACGGCTTAACCGTAACGTTGACGACTTCGTGCCCGCAGAATTCTAATTGTAGACAATGGGCAATAATGACGCGGCACATTAGAATCCCAAACACCTCGCTCTATCTCTGGTAAACTCTTGAATTCGCACACACGTTAGGAATATAAACAGACGCGCGTCACTCGCATTAGTTTAAGACGCAGCGTGTTGCGTTAACTGCGACGTAAAGCGCGACCGTCTTATCGCTGTAATTCGCGCTGCCGATCACATCAACTACGGATACAGCTCGTATCTGAGATACGATCGCGGTGACGCAAGCGAAGAACGCTCAATGCGTTTTCACTTTTAGCCGAGCGCAGTCTTTCCGCCCGTCGAATTCCCGCTTTTTCTCTTACGATTTTACCTCTCGCGCGGTGGACAAGCGTGTGCGAAATTTTGAAACGACGATTCCCGAGTCGCAATTTCGCTCCCACGTTAAATTCTGCTTAGTTCCGCGTCAAGTCTTCAAATGGGGAAAATGAAAATAAACTTTCACTTGTAACGTCAAAAGAGCAACAATATGCTCTTTTAATGCTTCAAACGGAAATTAGATATTTTTTCTTAGAAATGTCCTGGGGGGGATTTTAAAATCTACATTAAGTTTTCAAGAAGTGGAGAAAATTGAAATAACTCACCACTCGTAGCATCAAAGGAGCACAATGAAAGGCCTTTGAAAACTTCGAGCTGGTAGTTCCGCCTTCGGGTAAATTTATCTAACGGTTAAATATCTAAAGAGCGTTCCCGCACGGAAATAAACTACAAAAATACGAAAAAAAATTACCGGTATATTATCGTTCCTCAATAGTGTGCCGGGTAAGTTTTTCATATTCTCGTAGATTATTTTCCCGCAGCAATGCTTGCAATGAGAATTTAAGGCGTAAAGCTTGAGCTTTAAGTATTAAGCCGTGAAAAACTAACCAATCACCGGTCAAATGTGAGAAGGATAATCCATTGCGACTGGTGAATTTTTTACGGCTTAAGGTTTACAGCTTAAATTATGGGAATGTCCCTGAAATATTTGTCCATTAGATAAAAATCTATTCGAAAGTGGAAAAACAACCGGCCCATAATGTAGAACCACTTTTAACTTGGGTTCTCCTCAACTCGAATCGACGATGAGAGATCGACCAACAGCATCGGTCAAGGCTGCGTCTCTCCGAAAGACGCGAATCTCCCGGAGCACCCTGTACAGCATCAACGCAACTTCAATGCCGTTCTCACGATTTCTGCCCGAATGCGAACAGTTTATCGCGGTATTTGAACAAGGCGGGCTACACGAGTTGTCCCTCAGGTCTCCCACCGTATAATATTGATCCGTGACCTAACTTTGTTCGTCCGCTCTCGCGGGCGGACGTACGAGCCATTCGCGGTCAAATCGCGGAAGGCTCGTCCAATTCGTTCCTTTCAGACGTCGGTTTGGAAAACGTCGGTCATTAATTAATTTCCCACCTTCGGTGTCGTAGAGATTTTTTCCCCAAGTGAAGCATTCTCGAGTCGAGCTCTTGCGGGGTAGATAAGCGTGCTCTTATCGCGCTACGATTCGATAGCTGGAGAAACGAAACGTCAGATTAAGAATTAATCGAACCGAATGAGATTTGATTGCCGAGCGGGGGAGCATCAAAGTGACGCGCGTTTCGCGACTTTGTCTTCGTCTCGTTTCCAACTCTCTCTCTCGTCTAATCAACAAAAACGATGATAATTCCCCGCGACAGCGGTGCAATTACATAAGCGCGCGACGTGTATTTACAAGCGCTCACGTTTTATTATGGAGATCGTTTTATCGTGGCGCGCCTCGAAACCGTCGTCAGCGACCGGTTAATTGCGCGCAATTGCGGCGCGCGCGACATTGCCTGCGAGGAAAACAATTTCGCGGCCGAATCAATGACGAATGCCGCGCAGCGACGTGTGCTCACCGGCCCGGCCCGTAACATTGCTTATTGCGCGAATTAGGAGCCCGACGATTTGTCAATAAAACCCGATGCCACGCGTACGGTCTCGCGTACACACGCGGTTTCTCCGCGTTTGATCCGCGCGCGGGTTATTTTCCGTGCCAGGCACGCCTAGCGAGCACAATCGCAGTTATTCGTCGTTATAATAGATTCATCTTCTCGCCAGTGTGCATAACGAAGGTCAATAATCCGATAAAACTATTCGCGTCGGGGCATACAATTCGCGATAACACGCATTATTGGAGCATCGATCCGTTCTTACGCAAGCCGCTCCGCTGAAAGCACCTTCGCCGAGGGATCCGGTCGTCTCTCTGATTTTTACCGTAACAAAACACGGCTCGACGACGGCGAACTCGGTTTCAGTTTTGGCGGAGAGTCACGCGTGTCACGAGAAATCGACGACTCGGGAATACCTTGAACTCTTCCGGTTATTACATTTTTATTCAACGGTCGAATCAAGTTGGCGTTTTTTCTATATAAAGAATGTCAGGGCGCAAGTCGTACCACCTGTCGTAAACTTGTAGTTTAGGTTAATATTAGTTAAAGAGGCCTCTACTATTTTACAAACAACCGCGCAAAGTTTCGAGCTATTGATTATAGAAGCTTCTTTAATTGATAATTTAAAAACTTCAGTGGTCATTTGGAAATTGATAAACAACTTTTTTGGTTCAGAACGGCTCAATGTTGCGATAGCTTGTTGAATTACGCAGCGATAAACGTCAGTATATTGAACGTTGAATCTTGAATCGATAAGTACAATAGTTTGTCAGTCATACATTTATAGATTAAGTCATTCTAAACAAAAAAAATTCTTTACTAATTTGCAAATTACCATGCAAATTTTTGAGTTATTAATTAAAAAAGCTTCCATGTATGACTATTTTCAATCATTAATGATTCAAAATTTTGCATGGTTGGCATTGTTTGCAAAATGGCAGATCACTTTTTTCGTTGATATTGACCTAAATTGCAAGTATATGAACATAAAATATAAAAAAAATATAAAAATATATTAATTGAATATAAGATTTTGCCGAATTATTGTGATACGTGACAATGATTAATCTCTACCATTCGAACTGTGTTTGTGCACGAAAAATTTTCCTGTGTCTGCGTTACAGCTGTTTCGCACTCGTTGCTAGAGCAACAACGCATATATCGTTATATACCGTATATTTCGCTTAGCTGCTTGTTTCGGAAATAAATATCTAAGAGTTTACCAGGCGATCAGCCTGAGTCACTCTCGGAAGATATTAGTCACCGATTTATCTGTACAGTTGTAAGATTGTCTTAGTCGAGAGCATTGATTTCCGTCGTTTGTTCCTTTTCCTCGAACGAATTCTCTCATGCAATGAGCGAAAACGATTCATACCTGCGTTCGCGTCAAGCATTCCGACATACCTTTAATATTCTTTAGAGAAGCGCAGAGTATTTCGCGTATTTCGCATTTTCAGGTGCAAAATCGACCTCGAGCCGCGGTCCAACATTCGAAAAACTTGTTATGACATCATCTGATTTGCATTCACAAATTATTCAGATTTATACCGTTTCTATTATGATAATTCGCGATCACGTCGAAATCGCTACCGTCGAGATCCAAATATACACATCTTTGTGGCCCCACGTTGCGCTTTAGATCATTGATTTTCGCAGTGTGACCCTCCGTCATCTCCAAGATAAATGTCTCGTGTGCGCGTTACGGTCTTCATCAAATATGTAGCGTCGCTCTCCTAGATTAATGCGACGTTTGTAGGAGACAATTAATAGCCGGCCTTCGACCTATGCTCATAAAG